CCTTTTCCTCTTCTAAATCCAAACTGATCTTCTCCAAGTACATCCTCTATTTTCCTTTCAATTCTTCTTTTAAGTATCTTTGCTATTATCTTTGCTGTATGTGCAATAAGACTTATTGTGCGATGGTCGCTGCATTTTGTAGCTTTTGTCTTTTTCTTTAAGGCAATCATTGTAACTTCTGTAAAGTCCTTGGGCCACTCTCCACTTTCATATATGGTGTTCATTCCAAAATAATAGTACCAATAAATTATTACTGATACATACATACCATATTACATTCCTTAGATACTCGAAGAATAACAACTGCTCATTCCTTCTAGAGGAATTCTCATGTACACCAGAGTATCTGCATACCCAGATTCAGTCTTAACAAATAACATGATACATTCATTACTCATTGTTAGTACTGTCATGTGACTGACTACAGATGGGGTTTGGATTGGTAATCAAATTTAATGCACACTTGCACAACTTGTGATTACACTTTACAAATCACTACCACAGACTAATGTCCTCAGTCACTGTACTTGGTAATGGCTTGCACTGGCAGACATTCCTCTGCTACCAGGCTCAGATCCTTGCAGGCTGGCAACCATCTCATACCACCTTCATGTTCTAACTGCTGGCTTCAGCCAGTACTTCCTACAGCTGCTCTCTCCCGAGCTGAACAAACTCTCAACTCAACCCAAAACTGACACCTTCTGTAGTCTCGGCATGGACTGCATAGAAAACACTGTTCCCAACCATTACTCCATTGTTGTCTGGATATGTTGCTTATCAAAGGCTCTGATATTTTTGCATGTTTACACAGACATTGCCTAGTAATGGCTGTTTCTCTAGCTCCCTTATTCTAGCAGTCAGGCCTCATGTCACATGAGGGTAAGTCAATAAGTAAGTTACAAATGGATATAGAACTTAAACAAGTATGAGTATTTATTTGAAAACTGCTTTTATTTCTCAACATAATCTCCCTGTACATTGCGGCATTTGTCCCATCGTTTCACAAGCCCCTGAAAACCAGCAGCATAAATTCTTTGGGCCGCTGTCAGAACCAGGCGGTGACTTCCCTTTCTACAGCTTCATCGTTGGGAAGATGTCAAGCCAGAAGATGATGTTTAAGAGGGCTGCACAAATGGAAGTCACTTGGAGCAAGTTCGGGGCTATACGGAGGATGCTTGAGGACTTCCCATTTGAAATTTCACAGTGTCTCATTTGTCTTGGCAGTATGGGGACGCGCCTTGTCATGCAAGAGCAACATGCCTTTGGTGAGGCGTCCTGGTCTATCTTTGTAAGCAAGTTTGCCTTATGGTTCAGATTTCCTTACAGGATGTTTTTCATTATTGAGATACAGACATTACTAAATATTGTTTTGATGTGTTTGCAGTATGGCAACAGTTATGCCTTATGTCATAAATAAATGCAAGCCTTTTTGCACAATAAATGTACATATTATCAAATCCACAAACATATCAGCTTCTTTACAACCAAAGAATCAAAATGTGCCAACTGCCATTATTTAAAGTATTGATAAATTCAAATAGCAAGAATCTTGGCTGGATGCATGAAGGCATGGTGCAAGAGACGAAAAACTAGCAGGATTGATCGTATCCTTTCTCTCACTCCATGCACCTGCTTGGTCCCATTTTCAGTATTTTATTTCTGCACACTGAAGACCAGAGTTCTCCTTAAATACATCACATGGTAAAATCTTTCCATAAAGAGCAAGCCAGCTGCAGTGGAGTGGAATAAACAGTGATTAGTTTCCTAAATATTATTAACTGACTCATCTTTTAATGGATTAAAGTAAAAAAAAAAAAGTAAAGCTATGCCTGTAACAGGCCATGAAGGCCCATAGGGTTGTGAGACATTGAGGGTCTCACATTATCTAGACAATCAGTTCAAAGATAGCGGTAAAGTTGTCAGCCTTACGCGCCGGCCACGCTTTACTCCCCAGGAAAATTATTTATTTAATTCCTGGTACTCATTTCTGTTAGAGGCTGAGTGAACCCCAGGGCCATAGTGCGGCCGGAAGGATTAGGTCAATTGAAAAAAATTCAGTGACCTCATCAGGACTTGAACCCGCGACCTTCTGACTTGTAGCATAGTGCCCCCTCCTTTAATGGAGACATTGCATTTTCTATAAAGCAGTAACCAAATTTTTAAATAGTATATAGATGAGCTTCCCATGTTCGGTGGGTCCCTTGTCAGCATAGCATGGCATGTCCTCAAGTTGTGGATGGAGGAGATGGCCTCCAGATATGGAGGGTAGCTGCGAACATATTGAATAAGCATTCGGACAGCCAACAAGGGCTGGTCCTCCAACTTGGGGGTTGGGTGCAAGGCTAACAACTCATCACCGTAAAAAATAAGCTTGTTACAAAAGATCACAAGAAGCCTCGGACCTGGACAGATTGCTTGGATAAACAACGTAAGCGACAGAAAATGGATATGAGATTTGGTACTTGGAATGTTATAAGTATGTATAGAGCAGGTTCGCTCAGGGCAGTGGCAAAAGAAATCTCAAAATATAAGTTGGATTTAGTGGATGTATAGGAGGTCAGATGGGGCACTGAATCAGCAGGCAAATATACATTTTTCTATGGAAAGGGGAATGAGAATCATGAATAAGGTACAGGTTTCTTTGTACATAAGAGAATCATATCAGTAGTTTAGAGTGTAGAATTTGTTAGTGATAGTATGTCATACATAATACTAAGAGGTCGCTGGTGTGATATCATCGTTCTGAATATTCATGAACCAACAGAAGATAAAATTTATGATATAAAGGACAGGTTCTATGAACAACTAGAACAACTATGAACAACATTTGATAAATTCCCAAAATAGTATATGAAAATATTGTTAGGAGATTTCAATGCCAAAGTAGGTAGGGAAGACATTTTCAATAACTGGGAATGAGAGTTCAAACGAAATTAATAACGAGTATACTTGATGTCTGATCATTCAGGGTAGCAGATTGTGATAGTGACCACTAACTGGTGGTGGCAAAAGTTTGGGAAAAACTGGCAGTGAGTAAACAAACAACGCACAGAGTTCATACAGAAAGGTTCATCTCAAGAAATTAAATGAAGTAAAGAGCAGTATCACGTTGAAATCTCAAATAGGTTCGCTGTTTTGACACTGAGGTGGATGTTAATAGAGCTTGGGAAACTATTAGAGAGAATATCAAAATTTCTGCCAAATACGAGTCTAGGTTATTATGAACTGAAGAAGCATAAGCCATGGTTTGATGAAGGATGCTCAAAATTATTAGACCAAAGACATGCCGAGTCTATGTAACAAGTCTGTCTGTTCCTAGGAGATCAGAGAGAATTGGAATTGGGAGTTCAGAAGTGTTAAGAGAATTGTTGGAGAATTAGAAGTCAGCCTGTGAAGACTTAACATGTGATTTAAAGACTTTATGTGTGCTGTATTACGGTAATATCTGGAATGTGACTGTTAGAATTCCTGTGTTAAAATCTGTTGCCAGGAAATGGATAGTGAAAACAAAGTAAAGGAACAGCCACTGATGAAACCTGTTACCCAGCAAGAACTGGTGAAAGAAGATACAGAAGACTTTATTTTGTGTGCAGTAGTCACAGTAAGCTTTAGAATGTGTAAACCAGTGAGACTGTTATAATTATTTGTAGTTACGACCTGTGAGTGTTCAATAAATCTGTTCACAAATCCAAATCCTGCCTATAGTCACTAATACCTGTGATAATATATATGAGAAGGTTCAGTTACTGGATGAATTAAATAAATACTGACATTCAGAATTTATTTAGGGTATGGGGAAAGAGAGGCGGGGGCAAAAAAAAGAACTGTTACATTTTTAATAAATCTTAATAACAACTTTAATCTGATTATTCATGAATACTGCTAACGGCTTCCACCTAAGCACTGATGTCCTTTGTAACCTGTTTCTCCATCCATGGAGACAGGCTTAAAGAATTGATGAAGAATGCGTGATGATATCTTATGCAGTAATAATCTTTTTTCCCCGCTTCACAGGCAGCAAGTCTATGTTTTGCGAATGCTCTCTCTTCAGTTTTGATGCCTGGATTTTTCTCCTAAAAATATTACATACTTCATTAATATCAAGCTTGTGATTTCTTATTACTTTATAGTGGCATATTCAACACAATGTAAACCCTTAAAAATATGTAATATATCAAAATAAACAAAAAGATAACTTTGGTAATGAAATGGCAAAACAAATTCTGTAATAAAATCTTACTTCAGTTTCCTAACTTTTTCTATCTGATATCCTGGAACACTAGATATGCTCTCCCTATTGGGTGCTCGACTCTCCAGTTTGCGACGAGCTGATTTGCTTGCCTTCTTCATTCTCAGCATGTACTCAGGCACTTCACATCCAGACTCTTGCAACACATGAGCTATGCTGGAGAGGAAAAAAATATGGCCATGAGAGTTGAATTTCTTACAAGAGTCAGTATCATGATTAGTCTTCCAGGACGTGGCACTGCATAGTCTTGTACTTAGATACCAATGCAGCACATATCAGAAGATCAGAAACTAAAATACATCACCTCTGCTGTGTGCTCGTACTACTGCCACAGTAGTATAAACCATGCAGCAGAGTACACCACATAAAAAGATAACACAACATTAACCATAAACTGGCATCTGATAATATGAAAGAGTAGTTCATTCTCTATAAAAAGTTAACATAATTACAGCAACATGAGTTAACATAGCAAATAATAGAAGAATCTGGTGAAGGCTATGCTTGATCTACTACAACAACAGACACAAAGCTCATCACACCTCATGACATTTTTAAAAATCAGTTTTAGATTGTTTTAACCTAATTGTTATTTTACTGTTTAAGCACATGCATGATTCTTGTTTGAATCAACGTCTAGTCCACTCTAGTTGATGAACAGAAAGTAACCTTTTATGAACCATATGTATATAAATGGGAATGTGAGCATTGCAGTTCAGTGGTTAAGTGTGTGAGACTTGCAGCACCTGAGGATGGCCCATTAGGGTCAAAACATATAGTGCTATCTATATGTATAATATAAACTCCGTCGTAATTGTGACACTTTATTGTAGTTCTTGTCCCCCTTCTTTCACACTACACGTTTCGCCATAATCGGCCATCATCAGGTGTATTTCACTTCATGTAGCCGTCACACTGCATTCAATATTAACATTTAAATTCCAGATTTCAAATTGTTCATTTTCTGTCGTCAACTGGAACGCGATATTCCAAAACTACCCTTGTTGATTTTTATCATTGTGTTTCATGAATATTCACATGTCATTTGGTTTAACATTTTAAATTACCATTGAGCTTTAATATTTAAAATTAAAATTTAGATTTAAAAACAAAAATCACAGATACCTGCTCTATGCTTATATGTGCTGCAGCAGCTACCTCTTGCTTTCAGTACAAATCGCATGTTATTTTGTGCAAGTTCTCTGTGTGCGTGCCACTGCTTTTCTTTAACACGTGAGCAAACGTAATAGATCAGTAAATTTTATAATTCCTAATTTAGAGTTTTTGACAGCCTCACTACATAAATGAAAGAACGTAAAGGAAATGAGATATCTTAAGTACTGCCAGGAGTACAGCAAGGTGAGAAAGTACATCTGGATTAAGCTGAAGAGAGCATGCTACATTCTATGTTGTTTTTAAGAATCACGTCAAACATTAAAACTGCTGTATTAAGTAGGAACACTTGGAACTGCGATGATACTAAACTATCATTAAGTAATGTTTTAAAATCCTGGATGGGGGAGGGAATTAAAATTATCTGTGAAGAAGATTAACAGAGAAGTACTTTCAACCAAAAGTTCAATGTCTGATCCCTGAAACATATTACCATTCAACAGTCACCTGGTGTTTAAATATAACATGCTTCTACAAAACTGAAAGGCTCAAAGATCTCCCTATAAACAACTCCATGAAGCAAAATCCTTCTAGACAAGGTAATAGATGCTCAGATGGTCAAGAAATTTCACATCTTTCATGGAACTCCAAGGCTGACTAATGCATTACCATGAGCCCGCCACTAGTTCCCAGCCTGAGCTAGGTGAATCCACTCAGTATATAGATGCTGAAACTTGACATAGCCAAGTTGAAACTATAGCATCTAAAAGACACATTCTGAAATGTAGTGAGAAATATTGATATTTGTGTGCAAGGAAAAGTACTTTCTAAGTACTGAGCACCTTTCCATATTATCTTTGAAACCGTATTTGTAAAAACCTATTGTTATTGACATCTGCAGGCTAACATAATGCAGGAGGTTTACGTGGGCATATACTGTATAAACCTTAAAATATGCTGCAACTAATACCTCTTAAAACATTTGTCTTATGGGATGTAATGCTATGTAGTCTGTTGAAAGTTTTGATGAAACATGTCTCCAGCAGCTTCTGGCCAGAGCTGGAGGTGATGCTCCTATGAAACACTGGTTGACTTTTGGCATTATATTTCAGAAAATATAACTCTTCATAATTACTACTCTAAGAACCTCGAACCCTATATGGTATCTCTGGATCTATACAAATTCATACTACATTACCATTGCTACAGTATCGTTACTGTTTCTGAAATTCAAGAAGAATTTAATCATAAATTAAAGATGGAATATTAAGGATAAATGAACAAAACCTAGTTAAACCCTGACATGCAATTATTTACCTCCGTAAGTTTACAGTATCATCTTCTGTAAAGAATGTGACAGCTTTGCCTGGTCTTCCTGCGCGTCCTGTCCTACCTAATGACAAGAAATAAGACAGAAACCTGTCACAAAATTATGTATCTATTAAAGACTCGTACATGAAGAAGGGCATCATATCTCCTACTCAGATGATGAAATCTCGGGATATTACTCTCAAAGCAATTCACTGTTCAAAAATTTCATAAAATCATCATAAAATACCGAATAAGCTACTGACCAAGCAGTTTATTAAAAGTTATATCTTCTGAAATATAACACTATGTAGTCCACTGAAAGTCAATTGAAATTTTGGAGGAACATGTTGCCTCCAGCTTCAGTCAAGCAAAGCTTGGCTTATTCTTTAACTCTGAAGATGGAGGCAACATGTTCCTTTGAAATGTCAGCTGTCTTTCAATAGAATACACAGAGTTATACCATGAAGACAGAACTCTTCGCAACCACCACTGTGAGAACCTCAAATGCTAAATAATTTATTACTGTTTTCTAAATTAAAATGTCTCAGTCCCCATGGTTAGTATCTCCTAACCTGTTTCACATCCAATAATATTTCAACTGAAACTGTTTGTTCTCAATAAGAAATCTAAACTCTCTAAAATAACATAAGGATTTAAACAAAGCAAAATAATTTAAAATCAATGAACAAAAACAAACCTGTGAACATTCTTTATGAGGCAAAAACATTAAACATGTCGTTTCCTGATCATTTTCAAAACTCAATCATATATCTTTGTCAGTATTTTCAGACATGTAGTTTGAAGACTTTATCAATTGTAGGTGATTTTATTTTTTCATTTATCTTGTTTCCAACACTATTCTTGTTTCTCTGAATGGAACTAGTACAAGTGCATTGCTAAAATATGGTATGTAATGCGGCATACTTGCTCAAGACAAGAACTGTGAATCCAGCAGAGAGCCATTGCTAGGTAATAGCTGCAAAAGATTCATAACATGCAACAATGGAGTAGCTGGGAAGCGGTGTTCTCTCTATTTTTGGAGAGGTGTTTTCTGTACAGTCTATACCAAAGCTACATAACGGGAAGCTACAATTACGAGAGAGTCTTCAGATGGCAGTTAAAAGAGTAGGAGTTAGTTGTGAGACAGCTGTTGGCCAGTAAGGATATGAACACAGAAGCTGAGGAAGCTCTAGCATTGAATGCCATTACCAAGTAACAACCAGTGAAGACAGAGCAGACTGAGAAGACTTTGTACATGCTGTAGTGAACTGCAGTGTGTAAATTAGCAACAGTGCTACAGTCAATTGTAGTTACGATTTTCAAGTGTTCAATAAATCCAACTACCAATCCAAACCCCATCTATAGTCATGCTCAATCATGTCACAGTAATAATAATACACAACTGTTACACTCGAAACCTGATGGAGATGGTTTACTATAAATATGAAAATTCTTACCACTCTTAAAAAATAAATCAAGTTTCCTGCACTAATAATGCAAAAATTTAATAATGTAAATCAGTTAAAAATAATACATTCACATCAATATCAATTTAAAATTTCATCTAGTTCTACCAAGCACATTATGAATCTTCAAACTGAACTGTAATACGAGGATGAGTCAACTGAAAACCATAAATTTTTTTAATTAATTTATTCAATGAAAACGATACACAACTATATCATTTTCTACATATTCTCCATTTCTTTCAATACAGGCCCTCCAGCATTTACAAAGTGTATGGATTCCTCCAGAAAAGAATTCTTGTGGTTGTCTGTGCAACCACTCATGCACCGCCTGCTGCGCATCTTCATCAGAACAGAACTTCTTTCTTCCATCGCCTCTCTGAGTGGCCCAAACATGTGGTAATCACTTGGGGCTAGGTCTGGTGAGTATGGCAGATGTGGAAGACACTCAAAGTGCAAGTCTTGGATTGTTGCAACTGTTGCACAGGCAGTATGTGACCGAGCACGGTCATGTTGCAAGAGGACACCTCTAGTCAAAAGTCCATGTCGCTCTGATCTGACTGCTGGTTGAAGATGATTCTTCAAGAGATCTTAATATGAGGCACTGGTGATAGTGCTCCAAGAGTACACCTCGTTCGTCCCAAAAGAGAGTCAGCATAATCTTCCCTGCAGATGGCTGCGTCCGGAACTTGGATTTTAGTGATGAGGAATGATGCCATTCCTTGCTTGTTCTCTTTGTTTCGGGTTGGTGGTAGTGCACCCAAGTTTCATCGCCAGTAACGATTCTCGAAATGAAGCCATCACTTTCTGCTTCAAGGTATTGCAGTAGTTCTTCACGGGTGTCAATACGTCATTGTTTCAATTACGGAGTCAGCTGCCATGGCACCCACCTTGCAGACACTTTGTGAAACTGGAGCACTTAATGAATGACATGGTGTCTTGATCCATGACTCATGTCAAGAATTTCAGCTATTTCATCCACTGACACTCGGAGAGTCTCCACCACTAGGGCTTCAACTGTTGCAATAGACTCAGGGGTCACAACTCTGTGCGCCTGACCCTGGCGAGAAGCAACTGTCACAGATGTCACACCATTTCTGAATTTCCTACTCCACTCATACACTTGCTGCTGTGACAAGCATGCATCACCATACTGAACCTTCATCCGTTGATGAACTTCAATCGGTTTCACACCTTCACTGATCAAAACACAAATTACAGAACATTCTTTCGTGCATGTATGTAGTGCAGCAGCCATCTTCAAACTGGCACTGTGATGGCATTCTGTTTGTCTGCATTATACTGCCACCTATAGGATACTCTTTATAGCATTGGTAACATGTCTGCCAACTTATAGGACAATGGCATGATATTTTGAATTTTTATCTCAATTTTACAATTTTCATTTGACTCACCTACATATGCGAACAATGCTGATATATCATATGTATTAATACAAGTGTGATGGCCAACAAGGACAATGATGAAATATCTGTAGTGATATGTGTAGCTTGAAATCCAATAGGAAGTGGCAGCTGGTAGTACATGTTCAAAACAAAGGAAAAAGAGCAAAGAGAGGAATCAGCACTGGATACTTATGCCATCATACGTAGGTCATACCAAAAGTCATGAGCAACTTTTTTTTGCATGCAACCTGGGAACAGCAGACGAGAGTATGGTGGTGGGTGGAACCAGCTGTTGTGTTAACCTTGAGTGTCATGTGACGTCAACAGCTTGCATCACGTGAAGAGTATCACTCCTAACAAAATGGCCGACGATATGTCGTTTTGCCAGCATGCTGTCATCGAATTTCCTGTGAAAGAAGAAATCACTGCTGAAGAAATTCACCAGAGACTTCAACGTGCTTATGGAAGTGTGTGCATGGGTGCGAGCAGTGTTCAAAGATGGGTGAAACATTTTAAAGATGGGAACACCAGCATCAAAGATGAGCCTCGGAGCGGTCATCCTCGAACAGCCTCAACTGAACGCAACAAGGAAAGAGTGGATGAGATCATTCAAGATGACAGGCATGTGACTGTGGACACAACAGCCCGAAAACTTGGAATAGGGCACAGTGCAGTACAGGAGATGATTGATAGCATGGGCTATAGGAAAGTTTGTGCTCGTTGGGTCCTGTGATTATTGACCAAAGACCACAAAGGTCAGCGAAAAGCCATTACCTCAGAACTGCTGTCGACTACCATCTTTTCAGATTTGTGAAGGATCAGCTGCGTGGACAACGTTTTGAGACAAGGGAGGCAATTCAGCAGTGTGTCAGTGTCTTTGGATGGCTGAAATGGAATTTTACAGAAGGGGAATTTTCAAACTCCCAGAATGCTGGGAGAAATGTGTACAAAGAAGTGGCGATTATGTGGAAAAATAAAGAAAAGTCTGTAGATTGAGGTGGTGTATTTGGTTTCTCAATAATAAAGCATGTTACTTTACAAAAAATTGTTGTTTATGACTTTCAGTACAACCCTCGTACATACTGCATTTAAAGGTTCATGGGAATGTTTCACAGTCATTAAACGTCACTGCCCGTGATGACTTGTTATCAAAGTCAATTTTGTGGGAAGTCAAAAGTGCAAAGTTTAAATGTAAATAGTGATTGATCTATTGTGACATACAGAGAAGAAACATGGACTTGCATACAGCATCCACAGAATTGCAACTAGTATGTCCTGTACCATCGCCTTTCCAGAAATGCCCATATTGTTTGCCTTCACCTTTCAATTTATTGAAGAAGAGATACAATATATTGCGCACATACCAATTTGTGTTCATAGTTTACTGAAAAAATATCAGACCAATGGTTTGCTGTGCACTTACAGCACACAACCTACATATATACTGCAAAATGACATGATGAATGGCATGGGGATTTTTGTCACTCCACAATTATATATTCTGCATAATGATAATGACCAACCAAGGTAAAACACAAGAGATCAGAGATTAAAGAGTCTAGAGACTAAAGACCAGTCAGAGATTCAGACCTCAGTGAGATATTCGTTATCCAGAAGAAGTTCAATGTGTGAGCTGTTATAATCAACTGTAATTGTAAACACAGATGTCCAATAAATCCAATCACCAAATTTAGAACTCACAATTATTAGTTATGCCTACCCCTCATATGTGACAATATTTATGCTGAGATTGTAATAGAAAAATCTGTTGCATTCCCACTGTTGCTAAGTTTTCTTCTCATCTGAATTCCTAGTGATTTTGATTATAAAATGTGTAAATCACCCAGAGGTGATTATCAAGAATGAATGGACTGATATCTAGTTAAAACAAAAGGAGAAAAAATGGCTGAAATGTGTATATAGCATATGGTCTCCTTCAAGTAGCATTGGTACTTACCAATACGATGAATGTACGATATAGCACTTGGAGGGAAATCATAGTTGATTACTAGGCTTACACCCTTGAAATCTATTCCTCTTCCCATCAGTTCTGTACATATAAGAACCCAGATCTGGCCACCACGGAAACTGCGCACCACATTGTCACGCTACACAGTGAAACACATATAAACTCATATGCAGGTCAGGTGTTAAGTGACACTGGAACAATGGAATGAACATGTGTGGGGTTTCCCAATTTGCTATATTGAAATGAAGGATAAAACCACAGTGTACTCTGCAAAAGAAACACTAATATTTATAGCTGCACTAATAATCATATGAAATGAGATGCACGTTTTCAACACAAACCTCATGAATGTCGTATTTACGAATTTACTCAATGTCACAGTACACCTGGAGGAAGACTGGAGAATAATGATATACCAGATATCCAGTATTCCATCAGTATACATTACCTTTTCTCAGCGAGAATGTTCATAGTGTGGGTTAAATAACTGGAGCTGTTCACAATATAAGCAGCGACACACACACAGAGAGCCTATACAGAACAGTACCTGAACAGCGATAAAACAAGAAGTGGCCGCTGCAGCACTATAGACATAGTGCGTGTACCCTGAGAAAATTTTTAAAAATTTGGAAAAAGAAAAAGAACAGAAAATCTATAGACATTTTAATTTGAAGTGAAGTTTTAAAAAAGTGCCAATTTTAGAAATCAAATTGACGCGTGGAGGTTAACAAAGATTTTATACATACATACAATTGGAAAGACTGGTGATTTTAAATTTTAAACTACAGGCAGTGTAGCAGCTACGTAAGAATACACACCTGATGATGGCCATTTAGGGCCGAAACATTAGTGTAGAGGAAGGGAAGAAGAAATAACTACAATTAAATTGTTGCACTTAAGACGGAATTTGTCTCATATAAACTGGAGCTGTTTTAAAATATCAGGATGTTGCTGAGCCCTTACTCTTTTTTACTATCTTGTATTTTCAGTATAAGAAATTATTCCACAATAGTGTTTCTTATACAATCAATTTATTAAAACAACCAGAACTTTTCTAATACTTCTAGAGTTTTAATGCTTTGAGATCCAAGCCTAGTAAGTGCCGCATTCACCTGAATATAAAGCGACGTTTTCATCCTAGTCTATAAAGTGGTAAGTGTGTATCTGCATGCTACTGGATTTAGGCCAGGCAGTGCAAACTGCTCTAAGCAAGAACATACTCTGTGGAGGTCGTGATTATTAAAGACAAATAAACGGCACATGGTTGATTCAAATACACCTACACATTTTCTTTGCGTAGCCCATATACAAGATGGGGCATGACGACGTGATGGTGTTCCACAGGCTACCGTGAGAGACCAGACACTAAATGAAGTGAAACACTTAAATGAAAAATTAGCATAATTACTTCAAATTCAGTATCCACAGCCTTACATATTCTAGATGACCTGAATGACACTGACATCCTAAATGATGATTCGCCACTGCAAACCAATCCTTGAATACGTCATACTTCCTTGAAAGCTCTGGAAGCACTGATCTGCAAGCACCGACAAATATTTCCTCTTCAGCTCTCAGAACAAAGCTGGGCTATCTTTGGCTGACCAGGTCATAAACAGTCATATATAAGCAAAAAAGTTCTGAAACCAGGACCGAGATAAACGATTTCTTTGCTCAGAGCTAAGGAATGAACCACTGACATGACCTCACGTAGGTTTGTTTTGTTTTGGTTTCAAACCCAAGGTCAAATTGTCTGCACTCCCAAAGAGTGTACGTGTCCTGCTTCATATGTGTGTCATCTGGCCAACTCCGGTTGCTGCATGTGTCATATATATGTCATTCAGATGTTAGAGGTTAATGTCAGAGACAAAGTTTCACACCACAGGCAAAATTATACTTTTGTATATTCTAATTTTTATGTTTTTGGACAGCAGACGGAAGACAAAACGTTCTGGACTGAATGGTAGCAAGCATTACCCGAGTTCATTCTCCTCTTAATTTTCTCCTGATTCAGGTTTTGATCTGTTATCGCTGTTCCCAAATATCTGAACTGTGCCACATTTTCAAAACATCTGTTTCCTATCTTTATGTTATGATCTTGCCCGGCATTTTGGTGACGAGACAGCAACATATACTTAGTTTTCTCTGTGTTTACTTCTAGACCAACCCCTTTACTTGCGTCAATTAAAGTTTGTGAGTTTTTCTTTATGGTATCTATATTAACACCCAGTAGATTCACATCATCGGCATAGGCCAACAGCCGATGCATCCCGTTTAATTTCAGTCCCACCTGGTTTCCTTGGACCTTCCTAATGGCACATTCTAAAGCAAAGCTGAAAAGCAGTGGTGATAAAGCATTTCCTCAAAAGAGTCAGGATCAGATACTAACAGCTCAGCTGTATGTATTTATAACTGCCTAACATCACTGACCCTATATACATTCAATATCTGAGAGAAGTAGTTCTTCCACCTATTCAAAATGTTGTGCAAATTTGCAAGCAGATCACCATTTTCATCCTTCACTGTTACTTCTAGGTTGGTAACCCCTCTTAAAGTAATTTATTCCTCTACACAGGTCTTTTAGGTTCTTGTTCTTAATGTGAGTGCCAAGCTCTTTACTTTCGTCTTTCAAATTTTCCCTCTTTCTTTTTCTCCTGAAATTCCTACTTGTTTCATGTCTTATATTGCTCATATTATCCCCATTTATTTCACTTCATCCTGTGACCACTGCAATTTGGCTTATTTTCTTTGGCATAATAATTCTGAGCATCTTTCATTGAGCCATGGCTTATGCTTCTTCAATTCGTAATATCCTAGACTCTCTTTGGCAGAAAATTTTATTCTCTCTAATAGTTTCCCAAGATCTACTAATGTCCACCTCAGAGTTTTCCAAAGCTGTGAACCAATTTGACATTTCAACATGATACTGCTCTTTACCCTCTACCTCATTTAATTTCTTGAGATTGAATCTCTCCATATTAACTCTGTGTGCTGTTTGTTTAGTCACTGCCAATCTCTGCCCAACTTTTGATACCACCAGGTAGTGGTCAGTATCATAATCTGCTGCCCTGAACAATCAGACATCAGGTATACTTGAATACCATTTCCTGTCTATCAAAATATGGTCAATTTGGTTGTGCATCTTTCCATCGGGAGATGTCCAAGTAAATTTATGAATGCTACAATGTGGGAACATAGCACTTTCGACAATAAGATTTTTGGATGTGGCAAAGTTTACTACTCTAACTCCATTATTATTACTAATTTCGTGTAAACTCTCATTCCCAACTGTCGGTTTGAAATGTCTCCCCTCCTACTTTGGCACTGAAATCTCCTAATAAAATTTTCATATGGAATTTAGAGAATTGATCGAATACATGTTCTAGTTTTTTGTAGAACCTGTCTTTCATATCATCAATTTTATCTTCTGTAAAGTGGAATCTGAATGCCTAAATATAATGTTTTCAGAAACACTGTGCCTATTAAATCATTACCAGTTCAGGGTTTTATTACAAATGTTAAGAGAACAGCGAATGACTGCACACCTCAAAAAATCAAACTTAAATCATTTTTGGACTGCGACAGGTGACTCACCTGAAGCTGAGTTCGATCTGCATGGATAACATCAACATTGATACCATCATAAATTAACTCAGAAAATAGTTCTTTAGCTCGCTCCTTGGTTTGCACAAAAATCAGTACTGGTGGTGTAAGTCCCTGAAAAAGATAACAGCATATTATTCCTGATTAAGAGACCAGTTATATTACACAGTGCTTTTGATTCAAAACTTGCCAGAGACTACCGTTTGTAAATATCATGAAACTGATTAACAAATTTTTGTTTTCTGCCTTCTGTTGCATCAATGGTTCCAACACCACAATTAACAAATAGTGCACAGCACCAATGCAATCATGGGACTTTTTATTGACACTGGCACCAGCACCACTGCTGCCACCACCACCACCAATATCACCACCACCTCTGCCGCTGCCTCCACTGCTGCCACTGCCACCACAACCACCAGTATTTTCTTTTATGGAAAGCTCAGACATATATAGTGCTTGCTAAGAGTTCTACATCAGTGTGCTTGTAAAAAGTGACTTACAAACAATATTTCACACATAATTTGCAGGAATAATTATAATCTCTCTTCATATAAAACTTCATATTCCTAGCTTCAACAATCAGTTAATTATAAATGTTAAATTGCATATTAAACAAGAATATCTGCATGGCTGCCATTTTGTTTTACATTTTACAAAAAGAAAGCAGCTCAACAAAAATGCATAATTTTTAAACATATACTGCCATATAAAATCTGAAGACCCTATATTATGTGAGGATAGCACTGCTCCCAAGTTTATGCATATTTATGTTATCATGTTATTGAGTGTAGGAATTGAAAAATTATGGGACTGAAGTGGCCTCCATCAACATGTTCACACCAAATTTTGTGAAAAAATGGTCAATATGTCCACTTGTTCAAAAGGGGGCAATCACACAGCATGGTTATCTCATAAGTACACATTCCCTTTTAAGAAAGAAATTGGGCTAAAACTACTGCCACATTCATCTGCGAATCAGTGACAGAATATGAGAAAACAGACACCAAGATGCTGCTCTACTCTCTACTGTAACATTGGCTACATTTCAGCTGCTTTCTCTCATAAGATTAACAGCAAATGGAGACAAGTATAGCAGCTACTTCTTCTCTTCACTGTTTACACGGGGACTGTAATGTTTTCATACCTTCTGCACTAGTTCTCGCAATGCCACCATCTTGCCATGTTCACTGCCCACAAATATCAGTTTCTGATCAACATTATCAGAAGCAGCATTCCTACAACAAACATTTACATATATACTTTAAAATAAGAGGCAATGTGGATATGGAAGCATATAACACAGTTTAAACACAAGTTCTTACATAACAATATTGTAATTCAGGACAATTCTTCAATGTAAACTGCTCTGATATATCTCATATAATATTCCATTACATAATACAATGGCATTTTTAAATTTTTCTCCCATGCAACCACATCAGAGATCTTCTTAGCACTTATACAATTATCGAACACACAACAGGATGCAAGCCATAAAGGTTACTTTAACTGTTTTATACAGAAAAGCAGATTTATGGTACAAACACATCTGCACATCTATCCATCCAAATAATGTCTGAAAAATGAAAGGATATCCACGAAATTTTATGAGTACATCACATCATTAAAGTCTAACTAACCTTTGTGCTTCTTATTTCTCTTGTATCAATAATACAAAAAGGCAGTCATGGAACTTCTGGGAAGTGATACACATTATTTGAGATGTCCAGAAGTCATGATGCAATACTAGATCTTTGAAAATCTTTTCTTATGGTACTGGTTTTGGTAGGACGAGCCAGGGTAGCATAACCAGTATAGCAACTGGCTAAGGGTTGGACAACAGAGGGGTTCAAGTTCGAGTCGTGGTAGGGTCAAGAATTTTCTATTCTCCAAATTGTCCAGATCAGCTCTGGGGTTCACCCAACCTCCTATCCAATGGGTACCAGGGGCCCTTTACCTGGGAGTAAAATAGCTGGGGCGTGAAGCTGACCACTCACCTCCTGCTAAGGCCGAGGTCAAGAAAATGTGGATCTATACATCTATTCCCCATACACCTTCATGGCATAGTGCTTAATTCACTGAGCATAGGGACAACTTTTACTTTACTGGTTTTGGTAGGATATGAAAACAGAGTATGATGTCCATCCAGAATATGTATTTAGATTTTGGTCTGATTGCAATAACTGACGGATACCTGAAACTTTGTGTGAACATATCCATGCCTACAACCATATCCACAAATTCTGTGCACACAATTATTTTGATACAGTACAAACTATGAAAATGGCAACAGTATGAAACTTTGGGGTTAAATTTGGTAAATTTAAACAATGTGAAGCTGTATTGGTGGAAATTGTGCAGAGATATGGAGCAGTATACAGCATAATTAAAAACTTAATCAACACTCACCTCCATCTAGGTCTGGTATTAAGAATGCAAGGATCTATAGCTCCACTTCCAAACACATTTTCACAGTAAAGGTAAAGGTAAAGTTGTCCCTGTGCTCAACTAGTTAAGCATTATGCCATGAAGACATATGGGGAAGCGGATGTATAGATGCACATTTTCTTGAGCTCAGCACTATCTGGTGGTGAGTGGTCAGCTTCACGCCCCGGCCGCCTTACTCCCAGGGAAAGACTCCCCCCCCCGCACTACCCATTAGATAGGAGGTTGGGTGGACCCCAGAGCTGGTATGAATGATGTGGAGAAGAGAAAATTCTTGACCCTACTGGGACTTGAACTCTGATCCCCCAGTCATCCAGCCCATAGCAAGTTGCTATAACGAGTACACTATCCCGCAGAGACAACTTTACCTCTACCCTTATTTCACCATTTCAAATGAAGCATTGGAAATAAAGCTGGTAAGTTCTTCTATATTTTCTATATGTAACAACTAAATGACCTACATTTTGAGGTACACAAATTTACCTGTGGCCCACTGTCACAGAAATTAATCCTCTGAGATTTTTTCTAGCCCACCGTGCAACATGTATGGTATGAGTTGCAGAGAACATGGCTCGTTTCACATTATTTGAGTCACATGCTCTGTAGATAACGGCCAACTGGTCACGGAAACCTTTTGGACCTGTCTCAAACAGCTTGTCTGATTCATCCACTATCAGCCATTCAACACTGCAAGAGGACAGAAAGTGACATATGTTCTCATATTTAATTACATAATGCATGTCCCATCTATCATGATAGAGTTTAGGTAAGGGGTCAAAGAACTCTACTGTGTAGCACACCAGAGAATTCAAATGGTTTAATAGGCTGAAGCTGGGAAGGTTTACATTCTAAATCCAACAGTATCAGAAGCTTAATGAATCAGTTATTATTGCTTTCAAAAATTTCTGACACAATGAACTTTCCACAAGCTAATCAATTTCATCTTGAGAACTGTGGGCTATAGTTTGTCTATCCCTGTTTTAGATTTCCTCTACCTTGAAGTCACAAGAGAAATTACACAACAATTCCACAAGTCAGCAGTTACAAATTCTTTCTTTAAAATCTGTATTATGTTTTTTTTGTTTAATTAACAATGTGGTGTCAATTTCGTAAGCTGTACAGTGAAACACTGTTTTATTATACAGTGGAGTAATGAAATATTAAGTACAATGTAATTTTTCTGGACCCACCCAGTTTACTATATGTTGTGGAATGCAGACACACTGCTAGGCAATCATCACGAAATAAGTAACTATCCAACAGTCACGGCTAAGTCATGGCTCCTCAAACAAGCATGTTTCCAAGGCAACAAGAGAATACAGCAATAATGGAAGACATTTTCTATGCAGTCCATGTCAAGATGTTACAAGCAGGATCAATTAGCAGTTGTAGTACTGTAGGTCGTGGTGCAAGGGCCGAGAAGGCCCACCCCTTAAACATTCATTCATATCTCCCTGTGTGGAGGCAAGTTTGAATAATTCAACTGTATCCCTTCAAGTCACAGGCGGAGACAAAAAAGGAACCCAGGGCTTGGGGGTATAACTGGGCCACCTTGTTTCTGGGAGACAAGTATGGGGACCTGGCCCTCCAAGTTGGGGGAGCCTTGAATCTGAGACAGTGGAATATGGTCCTGAGTCCTGAGGGCCTAGGACCTACAAATGAGTGCAATGGCAAGGACCAGCAGGAATTGTGAATGACAGACCGGTCCTCTCGTCAGGGAGGGCACCCCACATCAACAAACCCACAACTGTCTGACAGTAAAAAAAAAATCTGGTCTTGGTCACAGATGGGGGCTTGACACCAAGATAGATTGGCCAAGTGATTGTTGGTAGTAACATAACTTTGAGGTGTAGATGGTTTGAGGATGGCTGGGGTTCAGTCGTTGTGAGCTGTTGAATTTAGAAGCTGGTAGCTGAGGCCAGGGACAGTTTGAGAACCCACAAGAAGGGAAACGTCCGCCATTGGAGGCCATTACCAAGCAACGGCAGAGAAGACATGACTGTGGGTACTAGTGTGTGTGTGTAACACTGTTATCAATAGTGAACTGTAAAGTGTAGTCATGTACTGTATCGAAGTATCAAGTCATCAATCCAAAAACCCACCTACAGTCACACTACATACATGTTAAAAAATATCTTTATTTAAAAATATTTCATTTTAATAACTAGCACTGTATCAAAAATATCAGTTTAATGCAATAAAAACCCACACCACTTCAAGAAAATATAATCAATATAATGAAATTTGTAAAAACAAAATTATTAAACAACATGATGCACACTTTATGAAGTCTGCTATGGCATGTGGAAGACAGAGACAGAGGTGCAGGAAAGACAATGGAGTTACTAAGTAACATGAAGGAATGCTCAATACAGAGAATTGCAAGAATGTACACAATGGTCATGGCCATGGTGTTTCATGAGAAACCCTGTGGATAAAACATTGAGATAGAAGGCCTTGCCCATCTCAAGCACAATCCAGGATTGCCAGCCAAGCAACATATTCTACCCTGCTACTACAGAAGGGCATCACTTAAGGCATGATTACGCTCAGAGATACTGGGTTTTCGGAATTTATCCATCATCTGGATTGTAATAACTAAGAAAAAACATGTTTCAGAAACTGGATCTGTTTCCGTCCTCAGGTGAGGCAAGACACCTACTCTCTTGAGCCCCTGGATGTGATCCAGTTTCCGAAACGTTGTGTTTTTCTTTTCTTAGTTATTTAGAATCTGGACGATGGATAGAGTCCAAAAACCCAATATCTTTGTGCGTTATACAACATCATCAGAACCCTATAGTATCTACATGATTATACTGCCTGATTGCTTGACTTTAGCCTTTAGCAAAGACAACAACAATATTAACTACAATTTGAAATTAAGTTCTTGTAAATTGCCTTTCAGAATCTGATTCTGCCTATTTATCAATCTACTGCAGAATTTGTAAATCATATAAGAGACCATACTGTCAATAAAACTACTGGTTGTATGTCATACAGAAAACATCTTCCCCTCAGAGAGAAAAAGTGTATGTATGTATCTTCTTTAAGGCTAGAAATTGTCACTATAATTACTTTTACTACAGTCATTACTATAATTCGTATCAGTATCACAGTTACAACCACTGTTACTATGGTTACCATGGTTACTGTGATTTTGATAGTGGAACTAGTGTCACTTCCACTCACCAGTTTGTACATTTGCCACGCTGTTATAACTGACTGTAAGACAGTAGAAACTATGAGCCTGGGATGACTTCAACTGGCCATCGTATTTCATCACAATCTATCACCAGTTCTCGAAATGAAATATGCAGACAGATAAACATGACAATCCCTTCCCATGCACACTGTGCAGAATACATAATGATAAGGGGCACTTACTGATTTAATGAGAGAGTGGGTGGATCCTGCTGCAACAGATAAACCAGACGATTAGGAGTAGTCACAAGGATATCTGTAACCAAACAAAGAAATTACTATTTTTCTTATAAAATATGTCACTAAGATGGCTTCTGTGCTATACTTCTGTTGCTCTGCTGCATATGAAGAAGTCTGAACAAGTCTGCTGGAATCCTTACCATACTTTTTGGAAGACTGGGGACCAAACCTCCTAACAGCTTGGCTTGTCTTGCTAATAATATGACTTCTTAAGCCAGTTCCTTCAGAAAGACGCACACATTCCCTGAATGAAACACAGTAAGGTATTCATTTTTTTAAGTATGTCCAAAAATACATAAACCAATTTCACACATACATTCTGCATGGGCTAAACATGGAATATCACTGATGAAGGAAAGTACTAACAATAGCTTAAGAATATTTATATATATTTGTTCTGTGTGAAGATCAGATGCAATAAATGTTCGATGCCACAACGCTGTCATCTTCTGGGTTATAACCCTTATCTAGTTTCATATGTGGATCCATCTCTAGGGGATGGCAGGATCCATTAAAACGTTGGTAACCACCTACAAAACTACAGGGTGAAACTACCCAAAAGACAACAATATTCATTTTCACCACCACAAAAATCCCAAATTTATACCCATGACATTAATGAATTTATGGATGCATTCTTCAGTATTAGCAACTATGCATACCTTCTAATACTCTATAACATTTATTGAATAAATTGCCCATAGAGATCAAGAACACATCCAATAATTTTAAAACGTTTAAGGTTGTATTAAGGCATTTCTTGAATACTCATATGTTTTATACTGTGTATGAATATCTAAATAGACAATTTTTATTATTGTTGTATTCACTGTATTGCCTAGTTGTGTAATATGTATGTATGTATTCTGTGCTCTATGTTACTTTATGACATGTTCTATATCCATCTTTGGATCTCTTGAACTTACAATAAATAAAATACAATACAATACATATAACAAGAATATTACTGAGACAGAGTAGAGATTACATATGAAAAGGGAGGGAAAGATGTAGCCTTGGCCTCAACCTAACTTCTTTTCACAAAAGCCAGAATTTATACTGATGTGCCTTTCCAACACATTCCCATTTTGTAAGCAACATGAATGTGGCAACATTTCACAACTTACTAGAACTCTAGACAAAAGCATCATACGAAGGTTGGAACTTTAATACTGGCAATTATTTATTTACAACTGATACAAAAAAGATGCACGTTTCAAAGTTTTACTGTCCTTCAGTGTAGTCACCGGCATTGTGTACAGCCCGTTGTCAGCGATGTGGAAGTTGTAGGATACCTTTAGCAGTGCCTGTTGTGTTGATAGTTCAAATGGAGCGGTCTACTGCTTGAAGAATCTCTGGAATAGTTCTGAAGCGAATGCCAATAAGTGATTCCTTCATCTTAGGAATCAAGTCGAAGTCATAAGGGCTTAAGTCTGGGGAGTATGGTGGAAGGTACAGCACTTCCCAGGCCCATCGATCGAACAAATCAGCCACAGCTTGCACTGCATGCAGCCAAGCAATGTCCTGCAAAATGATGGGTGGGTTTTGCAGGAAGTGTTGTCGCTTCTTTCTCAAAGCTGGTCGCAGGTTGTGTTCCAAAAATGAACAGTAACACTGCGCATTGATGGTCTGCTGTCGAGGAATGGCATATGTTAGGATAACACCATCACAGCTGTACACGAGAATCACCATAACTTTCCATTGCTGGGGTTCTGACAAACTTTTGATTTTCGTGGTGACCCGTAATGATGCCATTTGTTTGATTGGCGTTTCATTTGTGGCTCGTACGATTTGGCCTATGTCTCATCCAGCATAATGATATGGTGTAAGAAAGCCTCTCCTTTGCGCTCATAGCGCTCCAAGTGGTTACGAGCAGCGTCATATCGTAGCCATTTCTGCATTTCCATCAAATCATGCGGAACCCATCGTGATGCAATTTTTCTCATGCCCAGGCCTTCCTTCGAATGCGAAGCACAGTCATAAGTGCTAATCCTGTCTCTCGGGCCAGCTCATGAATCATATGGCGTCGATCACTCTCCAGTAACGTGGAAAGAGCATACACTTCTTCTTCACTGACACATTCTGGCATCCCTCGTTGAAGGCCTTTACCCAACTTGCCACTGTTCTGTAAGGCAATACAGATTCCCTGCAAGCCTCTTGAAGACCTTGATGACACTGTCATGCTGTATGGCCTCTGGCACATTCAATCTTCATCCAACTCCGTTGTTCCTGTTTCGAAAACATCGTGACAACATTATATTAGACTGCCAGCTAACACAAGGCTCTGTTCTTCTTGTCACTGTGTATGCGCATGATGTGGGAAGGGAAAGTCCATTTGTTCTGAGGTAAGGTAGGTATGTAACTAACGTGTGGCATAAGCGACATTATTTGGTGCCATTGCAAGGCATCTCTACAGCAGTGTTGCCACTATTAAAGTTCGAACCCTCGTATTATTAACACTGCATTACAAGTCATTACTAGGCAACAACATATAACTACGCCGTGCATAAAACTGAACACACCTGAACAATAAGAATGACAGGCAATGACTGGACTGAAAGTTGGGGACTGACTCACAGTTAGAGGGTTTTTTTTTGGCGGGGGGGGGNAATTTTTCACTGAAATCATCTTAAAATATGGTTTTATAATCTTACCTTATATTATGAGCGCCCTGTATCTGAGCGATGGAAGCAAGTGGATTAGAAGTTGAGTTTCATATGGTATTTCTTGAAACATCCATCTAAACACAACCCTGCCTTACAGTCTCTATACCAATAAATAGATTCTTTCCTTTTACCATGTTTTGCACACACCACACATCTTTTTTGAGGCTCTGCCTTTTTCCTTTTGCTGGAATACGGTCGTTCTGTGAGTCTTTTAGGCAGTGGCTCAACAGATGGACAGTCATATACAGGATGAGGAAAACCAGAACTGTGTTTTTCCACGAGGCCTTGTGCTAGTGAAAGTCTGAACTTTAGCGTAGCCATGTTTTTGTTATTCGGGAGACACCGATATATGACCATTGTGTTATGTATTGCTACGTTGAGTAGCCTCTTGAATAACTTCTGATACCACTTAGTACTCTTCTTTCATTCAAGCAAGTACGGCTGTAGCATTTGATCCTTCAGATCCACTCCTAGCATGTTTCTGTTGTAATCACAAACAACCACGCTTTCTTTATTGTTTGTTTGCTTTATTCACAACCACACGCATATCATCTTTGTGGGATGTTGATATCATAGTCACTCGGCCATTGTAACTGTGAGGTCACGCGTTCTATTTAGACTGAGTGGCAGAGCTGCAGGATCATGAATGTTATTGTTACACGAACCTAGAGCGTATTCTTTTCACAACAGCCCAGTGCAATCGTCATCATGCTGGCATGGTTCATTCCATATTTATGGCTTTCGAAATTAAGCTTATAGCTTGGCATACGGTGTACGGCAAACCGCAGGTAGGATCATTTAAATACCAGTGTACCGTGTACGGCAAACCGTGCTGAAGGGTTAAGCAATAAACAGAGGAGGACAGACTCTCAAATTCACCCTACATTCTCATTTACAGTATTAAACTGAGATTGTCAAATACACTTGAACAGCTGGTTTTCCAATACAGTAATTATGTGAACACATTTCTGTAACTTGTTTTTGCAGTCATTATATGATGACATTTTTGACCCACATGTATATTGGTACTGATGAAGCTTGGTTCCATCTGGGTGGGTATATCAATGCTCAGAACAACAGGTACTGGAGCATACCACTTTGAGACAGACTTTTGAAGTACCCCTTCATGTTCAAAAAACTGATATGTGGTGCACATAACTGCCACAGTGGGACACACATTTCTTGTAGAGATTCTTACTTTAGAGTGAAAAGTTAATGACATTCTTTGGGAATTTTTTTAACCAGTAAAAAAGAAGAAAATACAGTTATTTTATGCAAGACGGTACTACACCACACTGCTAATTATTACATTAATGCTTCAAACAAAGTGCCTGAAAGCAGACTGCTAAGTTACAGACTGTGGCCCGCAAAGTCTCCAGACTTGTATCCCTGTGAATTTTACCTGTTGGGAACCACCCCCCTGCCAAAAACAATGTATTCAAATAATTCCCACACATCAGATGCACCCGTTAAGGAACTGGAAGATAGCAGCGCAGGATAGAGAGGAATGGAGGGGCTTGATAAGGGAGGCCAAGGCCCAATATCGGGCTGTTGCGCCATAGAAGAAGAAGAAGAAGGATGCACCCATACATAACATCTGTGAAACAATTATATTTATTGAGAAGAATGAACTAAACCTAATGCTGTACAATCTTTTTGAGAGACATGAAGTTTGTTTAAGAGCAGAAAGGAGATTTTTTGAGCCTCTACTGTGATGGTGAGCTCCTGTTCATAACGTGTGGCATATTAGTTATAACTCTTAGATTCCTAAAAGGTTCAGATAATTCAGCCCCTCAGGAAGAACTCTGTATATCCAGCAAATTTCTATAGGATTTACAGTGACATTAAAGACATAAGAAGTCACACGTAAGTGATGTTATAATAATGCACTGTAATCTGATAAGTATGGAAAGAAAAGATCATAAAGTCTATCACCTGAATGTCTGACTGGCCAGTTCTCTTGTGGGGCTAACAATAACTGCACGGAAACCAAGTTTCCTTGGTCCTGCTAGATGGTGGATGACTGGTATAAGGAAGGCTGCAGTCTTGCCTGAACCTGTCGGTGCACATGACAAGACCTGACGACCCTAAGGGACATAAAACACATTACACACCAACACTGTTAACAATAAGATCAGTGACATACTGACAGGCCCAATGCAATAAGAGGAACAATGATTACAGGGCCGCTACCTTAAGAAATGAAGTTAATCTTTTCAAAATACCAGTATTTAGAAAGCTTGCATCATTATTACTTTGGCCACAACTTTCTCCTTTCAATTTTTCCTCAGTTCGTCAGCCCTTAAATAAATCACAAAAGAAACGCTGTATGGTGATCCACCATGGCCAATAACATGCTTGACATAACTAAACATCTATAAAACTAAGTATTTATGTTGTCTGTACCAAAAAGTCTGAGTTGTCATTTTTGCCTGTACACTAAATGTGTCCTGAAAAGACATGCATACCTGAAGCATGATTGGAATAGCCTGCATCTGAATGGGAGTTGGATCTGTGTAGCCAGAATTCAGCAAGTTCTGTATCAGCTTAGGGGAAAGATTGAATTCCTCTTGCATCCTCTTAAAGTCTACTATAGGAGGTGGAACACTTCGTCCAGTCACAGAGATACGATGGTGCTTTCTTAGCTGGGAAATCTACAAAATATAAAATCACACATGAAAAAATAATTATAAACATATGATGTTACCATTTCAAAGCAAAGTGGTAACTGTACATATCACCTACTTTAAACTTTATTGTGCCAGATTAAAAACCTCATCATACAAGCTCATGGCAAAAACAAAATGACAGCATTTAACTGTGTCCCCTTTTCTAAAAATGTAAATATCTTCAAAGCTATCAATGATTAAAACATAAAATTAAAAAAAAAAATCTTAAAGCAAAAACTTCATGATAATGGCACTGAATATTATTATATTTAAGCATCCTGTTACACTCTACACAATGTATGAGACAAACTCCGTGTTAAGTGCAACAATTTATTGTAGTTCTTTTGTCTTCTTTTCTTCTACACTACACATGTAGACAGCACACGTATTAAAGATAAGCGGCGGCACACACACAGGGAGCCTACACAGAATACCTGAATGGTGCTGAAAGCAAGAAGTAGCCGCTGCAACACTGTAGACCTAGAGCAGGTATCCCTGTGAATTTTAAATTTTAAAATTAAATTAAAAAAAAATTTAATTTCAATTGAAGATTTTAAAAATACCAAATTCAAAAATCAAATTGACGTACGTAAATTAACAACGATTTTATACGTATCTGACAAATATCAGCAAGGGGAATCTGATATATCAGGACCTATTAACAACGGAGAAATGAACAATTAAGAAAGCTGGTGTTTTTAAATTTTAAACTACGTGGAGTGTAACAGCTACGTGAGAGTATACACCTGATGATGGTCATTTAGGGCCGAAACATGTAGTGTAAAAGAAAAGAAGACAAAAGAACTACAATAAATTGTTGCACTTAGGATGGAGTTCGTGTCATGCACTGAATAAATCTGACTTACATAATCTGTTATATGCAAGAGACTCATGTATGAACCTATCTAAAATGCAAAAAATCAAAACAGCAGTTGTCTGTTTCATTTACCTGTCTACTGTCCTCATAAATTCACTCTCTCTCTCTCACTCATTCACCCATGGAGCTAAGCCCTTCTTGAGAAGCCGCCTATTGTGCAGCCTCTCAAGAACTTCCCAGCATTTCATGGAACCAGAATGTTCATTACCGTGTTTGAAAGAGTCCTCCACTGGTCACTATCCTGAGCCAGATCAATCCAATCCATACCACCCCCATCCTATCTCGCTAAGATCCATTTTAATATTGTCCACCCACCTACAACTTGGTCTTCCCAGGGGTCTCCTTCCTTTCGGCTTTGCCACCAATATCCTACATGCATTCTTCCTCTCCCCCATTCATGCTACATGTCCTGCCCATCTCATCCTCGACTTCATCATTCTAATTACACTTGGAGAAGAGTACAAGTTATGAAGCTCCTCATTATGTAGTTCTCTCCAACCTCTTGTCACTGCAACTCTCTTTGGTCCAAATATTCTCAACACCCTGTTCTCAAACACCCTCAGTCTCTGTTCCTCCCTTAATGCCAGAGACAAAGTTTCACACCCATTCAGACCCACTTCTTTTGCTTAGGTCATTTATCCAAAGAATTCATCCAGGTACAAGGCTTCTTGTGATTTCTTGTAAAAAAGTCAATTTATGCTCATGAACAAAAGTACACTTCATTACAGGTAAATACAGACAAAAATCAGAACAGCCTGAATTTAGTGTAAATCTCCCATAATGAGTATAAAAATACTGTCCAATGGTCACACATACAGACAGATGGATAGGTATGACATCCACATACAATGTTCTTTCTTACTTAGTAAAACAAAGTAAAGCTGTCTTTGTACTTAATTAATGAAGTAATTAAGAACTATGTCATGAAAACATATGGGGGAGAAGAGGTATGGCTCCAACTTTTTGACATCAGCACTGGATGGAGGTCAGTAGTCAGCTTCACACCCTGGCTGCTTTAACCCCTTGCCACCCATTGGATAGGAGGCTGGGTGCGCCCCAATACCAGTCTGGTTGCTGTGCAATAGAGAAACATTTCTTGACCCTGACCATCCATCCAACAGTCCATCACTACATTGACTGAGCTAATACCAAAAATGGTAATAAAATGATTTGTATATAATTTTAAACCAAGTCAGTAAAAATGTTGGTTACAAACACAGTGCCAAATAAACAGAATCATATTCCATTTTGAGAGAAACCAGAATCTATGTTAATTCATACCCGTTCTTCTTGCTGAGCTGCACATTTTTTCTTAAGTGATTCCTGGGTATCCAATTTCTTCTTGCTGTTCTTCTTTTTCTTAAACTTGTTTCCAGTGACAGCTGCCTTCATTGAGCCAAGTAATGTCAGTTCACTATCTGTATCGAGTTCATGAGCTTCAGAACTGACACTATCATCACTTACTTTGCAGGCATCTCCCTTTGGTTCCTTTTTTATACTTAAGGCAGAGCAGACAGGAATACATTTGGGCTTCAAACACTGTGAAGTACATATAATACCAAATAATATAATTATAACTACATTAATATTAATAATAATTTAATAACTAAATTATTATACTACAAACAAGAAAATTTGTACAGAGTTTTGTACCAAAAACCACACAAACCTTAAGCTTTTGTGCATCAGCAGGGTATTTCTTGAAATTAAACTTTGCACCAGATGTAAGCTTTCGAAACAGATCTTCTGCATCCATTATATTCTGTACAAAATAAATACGAGAATTAATTAAAATAATATCATGAACATAAAATTCACGAATATATGACAATTTAAAATCGACTGTGAGGAAACAAATGCCATGTACTCCGTTATACTGATGGGAAAATTCGGGTACAACAGAAATGTTATTACCATGGAGGAGTTGAGGTTCTCCCTTCATTATATTACTAATTCAAGGATCGCACTCTTCCTATGTGGATTTTTTATGAAGCAGTTTGTAAGGATGGTACATCAGACTTAAATCGCATCAATCTAGAACTCTGTAAGCTCTCACAATTAAAGGTATTACTTGCGGTCTTTACAGCAAATGTAATTTACACAACTTCACTCTATTCTACAAATTTTCCCTCGCAAATTTACATTTAAAATTACCAATATAATCAAATATGTATTACTTGATTTAAATCGTGAAAATTTCGGGAGAATACAGTATTACGTGAACTTCAATCGGACAATCATGTGGCATATTTTTCCTCCATATTACCATAGACATATGTCACGCTAAGACATTCAGCACAAAACCATGAAAACTCCGTCTTTCCTTCTAGTATGCGTACAATATACGAGATAACTAGAAAAATCTAATGCAATAAATTCAATTGCATATTTTATTTTGAGGTTACAGAATACCTTCGTTGCTCATCACAGATGAACCTCGCAGGCAGGCCGGTGAAGCTCGGATAGGTCGCTCGGAGACGCTCGGAGACCTCGGAGACACACAAGACCCCAATACCCCACAAAACGCCCGTGACCATGGTCGTAGCGTCGCAATTCAATTTCGATCATTTCGATTAACTGTCGAATCCAGCATAGCCAATAGACAAGCTGAAAATTTGCGAAAGGACCAGGTTTTTAACTTCGGAATTTGCTCCCATAATTGAAATATGCCGCTGATATAAATGTCCATTTATCATGACGTAAATTTTGCCATGTATAAATGTTTTCTGTTCCTTCTAAACATAAGCTCTTCCGAAACGTACTTTATGTATTTTAACTAATTTAAATGTTCTTGAATGTTTCAATTATTCTAATTAAATGTCACACCTCCTTTCATTCCTAAATAGCCATACATGCCAGTAATTAGTAGGGACAAAAGTAAAAAAAAAGGAACCTCTAAAAAAGCAAACAAGCCTGCACATTTATGAAACAAAATTACATAACACTCCTATAGCTTTCAGTGAATACAGCATTACTTCAAGACGCTGTATGTTTCCGTTATTGTTAGCGTCATTAAAAAAGCAAGCTAACTATCATTAATCAAACTATAAATAATAATAATAATAAATCAGTACCATCGGATAGGAATGTAGTACAAAAAGAAGCAGAGAAGAAATTAAAATATAAAAATTTAAGCATCGAAATTCAGCGAATGTGGAACATGAAATGTTTTGTGATACCAGTAATTATTGGAGCCACGGGTACAGTCACGAGAGGGTTGAGAAAATATTTGGAACTAATTCCTGGTAAGCACTCCATAGATTCACTGCAAAAAACAGCTATCCTGGGAACATCACACATACTACGGAAAGTGCTACAGTGCGAAGCTTGAAGCCTGAGTGGTGAGGTGCATCACTGGTTCAAGAAAAGTAATCCCACGAAATAAACCTGTGACAAGAGATGATGATGATGATGATGATGATGATGATGATGATAATAATAATAATAATACGGTAACGTTATCCCAGCGCTTAACTAATTTAGCACTACGCCTAATAATAGTAATAATAATAATAATAATAATAATAATAATAATAATATGCGAAATCTGAGAGGTATTATATGCAAAAGATTGCAAGAATATAATATTTAAATGGTACTCGTTACAATACTTGTAAGATTTGCGACAGTCATGCGCTTCTAGGATGCCACCGTGTAGTTTAGTGGATTGATACCAGTGTTTGAGAGAAGTCTGCTGCTTCCGTCTTCAGGGTAGAAGAGTACTTTTCAACTGTATGATTAAAAATACATTATTAAGACTTTTGCCAATCTCACAGAATTATAAGTATAGGTTCACGTTAAATGGATTTATTTACTCAGAACGATTTATTTCACGACGCTGTTAGAACCTATGACCAGGGCCGCCGGCAAGAGTGAAAACTAAGCACCTGTTCCTCAGGATTTAATCAAAGTTGAAGAACAGACGGAAATATACCAAATGTTAATAATAAAAATTAAACAATTTTAATTGGTAAAAGTAGTCTTAAACGGCTTAAATGTGAGTATATAAGCAGATTTTCTGGTTGCTTCCCCACCCTCCCTGGGAAACTAGCTGCCTCACAAATATTGGCGGCGCCAATGTTTCAGAACAATGACATGATTATAATGAGTTGGAAAGGCTGTGGAAGGAAATATTTGTGGCTTAACTTTCAGTACTGGCCTGGAATTTTAACTGCAAGGACTGGGATAAACCACGAACATTTTATGCCAGGATAGCCAGTCTCCGAGCCGAGATATGAACCCCGGATCTCCCAGTTACGAATCAAGATTGTTGTCCATACGACCGCGACCTTCAGTATACTGACTTACAGTTTGAAATGCACACCGAACCTATTTACCATTAATTAATTACTATTGCGTATTGTTACGTATCTAGAATTTTACCAAGCACTATAATATTGCAGCTGGATTTTGTTCTTCCACCGGTGACCATGAAAAGTGCTGTCTTCTGAAATGGACCATTTACTTGCGTCACGCCGCGGAAGACAGTTCTAATCTTGCAAGTGTATACAACGAACAATAAAATGCCAAATAACATACAACAATATAACTATTGACTCATTGATTCACAATTGACTTTCCTGTGTTAACGTTGGCACCTTTTTGGGAGGACAGATGACTGAGTGGTTGCGTAAAATATTTCACACACAGTATCTGGGTTTTGTATATGTTCACATGGAGTTTCTTTTTAGCACAGAAATTGTAGCAAGTGTGTGGCTATGATTGCTTTGAACCATCCGCTGTAGATTGTAGGTGAGTTACAACATTGATCATATAATTTGTATCAGCTATCAGCCTGTGTAGAGTTGCTGCCGTGTTTAAGGTTAACAAGGCTGAAAAATGCAATGTACATCTAATAGACATGTTCCGAAAAGTTAAATGTAATGCGCGGTAGCGTAGTTGGTTGAGGGGCTATGCTACAAGCCGGAAGGTCGCGGGTTCAAGTCCAGATGAGGTCATTGATTTTTTTCAGTTGACCTAATCCTTCCAGCCGCATTAGGCCCTGGGGTTTACTCAGCCTCTAATAAAAATGAGTACCAGGAATTAATTAAATAATTTTCCAGGGGAGTAAAGCGCGGCCGGCGCGTAAGGCTGACAATCTTACCGCCATCTTTGTGCCGATTGTCTAGATAATGTGGGATCCTCAACGTCTCACAACACTATGGGCCATCATGGCCTGGTACAGGGATAGAGTTACTTTACTTTTGATATTCTTTAGTCACTTTTGTTCTTGTGTGACAATACGAATCAATACGGTTCAAGGTCTCATTTCCCGAAACGCGGAATCTTATTTACAGACATTTCGTAGGACTTTACTATATCAACACAGGACAGTACAAACGCAAAGGGCGAAAAGTGTCCGGAGTGAGTTTCGAACCAACGATCTCAATGTTAGAGCGGCTGAATACGGTACACCCCATAGACCGCCATAGACTGCATGGTCACTGTGATGCAGCCAGTGCCAGCGAGGGAAGTGATGTTGTGTAATTAATAATTAAGACGATTAACTCTTCCTAAGTAATAAATATAAAATTACCACGCTACTTTTCATCGTAAATTGGTGCTTAATCAAATTGGCTAGAATTCAGAGCATTGAAGGAATACGAGTAGTATATAGCATAATATTAAGGTTTCACTGTCTGTTGGTATTATATACACTGAAAGGAAATTAAGTCTTGTGTGTATCGCTTCAATAAAGGAATAAAACATTTTATTTGAACGTTGGTTTAACTCAGTCAACAGTTTCCCATGTTTTTCCTTTGTATTTTAATTAAGGCATTTGTTTTTGTGTAGATAACCCAATAAAAGACAACACGCTCAATAATATATTAATTAAATGGGCGTATATACAGGGTCCCCCTCCTTGGTGTCTCCACCTTATCGTGGTGAGGGGGTTTGAGTATGCCAAGGACCCTGAGAGCTATACCAGCGGTAGCGTAGCTACTGGCAGGGCCTCCCTTGCTGGACAGGTCAAAGGGTAGGCATCAGACGAAGAGAGACACCAAAAACTGATGTCGGAAGCAGCGTCATCAGCAGCGACTTGAAGCACAGAGCAAATGATGCTTGAGATGGTTCAAGTTCGTATAGCANTATACAGGGTGTCCGGATGAAAGATATCCAAAATAAATATCTTGCTGAAACTAATTGTCGTACACGTATCTGGTTTATGTCAACGGTAAGGACAACTCTGAAAGCTATTTTTTCCATGCCCTGCTTATGCACATGTGCCAGCTGGTGACCTTCAGCGAGCTCAGTAATGATGTCAACACCACAGGAACAGGTTGAATGCGTGCTGTGGCCAGCAAGTTGCAATCTCATACAGCTGTCCAGCATCGTTTTAGAACGCAATATGGACGTTACCCTCCTACATGGGAAAGCTTTTGATTTTGGGACAAACTTAGGACTACAGGTGGTCTGTTGCGTGTACAATCTCCTGGAAAAAACGGACCTCTAAAGAAAATGTTAACCGCATTAGAGAGGCATTCCAGCGAAGTCCGCGAATATCAATTCATGCTTCCGGCTTGCAGTTACAAATTCCATGTTCAACAGTGCATGATGTGCTACACAAAAGGTTCCACCTAAGAGCGTACAAGATTCAAATGATTCATGCACTAAAACTGAGTGACCAACTAGCACCACAAACTTCGCTGTGGACAAGCTAGAAAGCATTGACGTGTTTTATACATTATTGGAAAATGATGTTTTGTAAAGTGCATAAGCGGACAGGAGATTAGAAACAGAAAACAACAAATTATTTTGAATGTACTCAACTACACTATCGAAAATTCAAGAAAAATGTAAGTTACATTGTGAAACTGGTGAAGTAAAAAGCAGTTTGAGAGCTTCAGTTTGTATAAAATAGATAATAAATTTCACTCTTAATTATGTAGGCATTTCCATTCCTTCATGTAAGAGTAAATCTGCCATCTCCTGCAGTATCCCACAGTATGTTGCAATACTGTTACCATAAGAATGGTAGTCTCCTGTGAATGTCAAACAGGCTCATATATACTTCCTTCCAGTATATCGCAAAATATAGGTACTATTCATGATTTATTAACCTTTGTAGAAATCATTCTAATTTACCTGAAACTTGTATACTAATCTTCCTTACCAGATAAAAGAACACTGTTATATTATGTACACTAAGGAGCAGATATTTCTAATTCATGCTTCATACAAATGAATCTTAATTGTATTTATATCAGACATTGCAATGTGCTAAGAGAGCGATTCTTTTTATGTACGTAGTACCAGATGGAAACTGAGTCCACACCACTTTTGCTGCAGCCAGCTCCGTGGGATCCTCGACGTAGTACAATTGCGGGTGGTTTGGTACTAGTGACTCTAACATTGGAACGCCTAGCATTTTATGCATTAGTAGCCAATCTTTTCCTCTTTTTAAGTCTGGGAGGATGGTCACCTCGTGGGTCAATGACAGCAGTGCTTATTCTGGTAGGGGTATCACACTTTTCAGCCCTAGGTGGAGGATGGCTTGCTGATGGATTAGTAAGTATAGTCTTATTAATCTCAAAAACAGTTACTAAAGAAAATCATTATATGATCATGTACACAGATCTTCAGTTAATTTTTTGCCAATTTAATTTGTAGGAGTTTAACACAAGTTCTTACATAATAGATTCATAGCTGTAGGTACAGTGATACAGGGTTTGTCTGGAAAGTAATGCAATTTGTTTTTTCCCGCCACCGCTCCCGGTGGACCCTTAGCTTCACAGTGCTCCCAAGCTCAATCTGCTCTGAGCTCTGGGAGCGTCAGGATCGCTGTTTCCGTGAACCTCCTGTTAGTGCCTGTGTCACAATGCGCAATGGAGAAAACTATCAAACAATGTTACGCGATCAAGTTCTGTGCTAAACTGAACAAAAGCCTTGCCGACACCCACCAAATGATTCAGGAAGCCTACAGGGTCTCTGCTCTCTCCTATTCTCAAGTCTCCAGATGGTTGAAGTTGTTTAAAAATGGCCGGGAAGAGGTGGAGATTGACCCCTCCTCTGGACGGCCATCAACCAGCAAAAGTGACAAAAATGTTTCTCATATTCGTGATTTTTTTAAATACCGACATTGAATGAGTGTTTGGAAGATAGCAGAGACTCTCAGTATTCCGAAAACCAATGTGCACGACATCGTTACCGACAATTTGTACATGTGGAAAGTGTGTGCCAAGTTGGTCCCCAGATTGTTGACTGACAACCACAAGAACCGCGTGACAATCGCAAATGAACTTTTGGAACGTGTGCAAAACAAACCTGATTTTTTGGACACCGGCTACGAAACATGGGCCTTTGAGTACGACCCGGAGACGAAGCGCCAAAGTTCCAAATGGCACACTGCGGAGTCCCCTCGTCCCAAGAAGGCAAGAATGAGCAAATCGAAAGTGAAAACCATGCTCATTGTCTTCTTCGACGCCAAGGGTGTGGTCCACAAAGAATCGTACCCCAAGGGCAGACAGTCAACGCTACCTGCTACGTGGAAGTGCTTGACAGATTAAGAAACAGGGTTGTCCGCACTCGAAAGGAGATCTCCGCTACCTGGCAGCTGCACCATGACAACGCTCCCAGCCACACCGCTCTACATGCCTGGGAGTTTTTGGCGAAGCACAGCTTGGCAACGTTTCCCAAGCCCTCCTACAGTCCTGACCTGGCTCCGGCAGACTTCTTTTTGTTCCTGAGGATCAAGACCGCCCTGAAAGCAACCCGTTTTGGAACCATTGAAGCGATCCAAATCGCCGTGACAAAGGCTCTAAACGAGGTCCCCATTGACACCTTCTATGATACGTACCGTGCATGGAAAAGTCGCTGGCAAAAGTGTGGATGACCAAGGGGAGTACTTTGAAGAATTTTAAACATTTGTAACGATATCTTGAATAATTTTTTTTACAAACTTAATTGCATTACTTTCCGGACAAACCCTGTATTTGGAATTTATGATTCCGTGAGACTGTTGTAATTGCGATCCGTAAGTGGTCAATAAATCCAATATCCAATCCAAAACTCCACTGAGAGTCACTCATGCACGTGACAGTAATTTGAAAATGCATTCGATGTATGTGTGCATCACTGAAGGAGGTCATGTAATGTGGTTTAAGATCAAACTACAATTTTTATGCATAGTTTGCATGTACGAGTAGTCCATAATGTGAAGTCCAAATACAGCTTCATCAGATTTCTCAAACATATGAAAATTGAGGTTTTCCCAGAGACAAATCTAAAAATGATGGTGTTCAGGAATGTGACTTCTATAGTCTGGTAGACAGGTACTAGACAGACTAGAATTTGCTGCTACTGTTATGAGAGTAAAAGGAGTTTGAACAGCAGGTTCCCCTGAAAAGTTGGTACCTGTCTATCAGACTACCCAGCATCACATCCAAGATTACTGTAATCTTAATTTCTCAAAAATATCTCATCATATGGAAATGGGCATATATAAAATGCCAAGCTTGTTAAGCTAAGTTCTACATTTATTTGGAACCACATACATTGCATGTGTGAGGAAGTACAATGAAAATGTGAGTTCTTGCTTGTATTATAATATGTGGTCAATCATAGTGTATGTGACTATACCTATCAGTATCAATTGACTTCTGTCTACAATAAATGGAAGTGTAGACTAATGAGGGAATGAAAATCTCGAAGAAATCATTCAAAACTCTGTATACTCCAGACTGGAGCACATAGTTCTTCTTTTATTGGAAGTGTTGAGGTTTGAAGATATGGTCTATGTTTATATCAGATATGGGGAGACAGTACTCATTTTCAGTCAGAAATAGATGTACTGTCATGTTTGTGCTGTCCATTTGGAAATTCTTATAAAACTTAAATTTTTTACTCTACATATACATATTTGCAGGTAGGTAGATACTGGGCTCTTGTTATTGGTCTATCTCTTTATGTGATTGGATTCACATTGCTAACCATAATGGCTAGTGGTGTCCTCTGCCATTGGAGCCCTGCATCATCATCTTGTGTGTCTGAAACATATGGCATCTTAATTTGTGTGGGAATTGCTGGAGGAACTGTGCGTGCTAATATACCATCATTTGGAGCAGAGCAGGTAATACTTTTATAATTTCTTTGTACTAATTTTTACTGGAGAAATTTTCCTTCTTGTTTAATTCTCTCCACAATTCCAAAGCTGTTTCTGACACCTTCACTACTGAAGTAGGACAAACCTGTCTCTAGACCACAAGTTTTTGTAGGCTTAAAAAGCAGCGGTTAAAATTGAACTGGAAACTTTTTCTCACATAATTATGTTAGCTGTGGATTTCAAGATTTTGATATTTTGGCACAAGATTCTTCAATAGTGGGGCAGGGGGGAGCATCATTAATCAATGGCATGGTTGGAGAGATAACATTATACAGTGAAACTTCTATGTAAGGTTTCTCTGAGGACCAGTGGATTTGAACACAAAGGGAAATCTTAAATGGAAGCTGAGGAGGTGTAGTACTGAGATTATTGAAACTGAAAGTTCATTAACAGAACATTAAATAGGGATTACATCTACTTTCCTCATTTTAGGCTCTTGTTAGTGCAGAAATGGTATGATATAGATGAATGTCAATGCCCTTTTTCTTGTTATGTTGTGTTTTGTAGTATGTACACTAGAATGTGTATATCTGCCTTAGGTGAAGTATGGTGGTGCTGATTCTCTACGAAAGTTTTTTAATTGGTACTACTGGTGTGTCAACACTGGAAGCCTGTTGGGTGTTGGAGCACTGTCTTATGTTGCACTGGACATGACAGATGGATTCCTGCGAGCATTTGCTGGAGCAGGTGGCTGTTTACTGATGGCTCTGATGCTTTTTGCTTTTGGTCGCCCCTATTACATAGTTCATCGGCCAGCTGGATCAGTTCTTAGGTCCATACTGTGCATTCTCCATGATGCAATTGGTGGCCGCTGTTGTCAGCCAAGGCAAACCAGCATACAGAGGTATGTACTATACTCATATTATAAGGCAGGTGAACCTCATCACTTCAGCCATGGTTAACTAATTAGTTTATTAAAAGCATATTAATCATGGGAAGGAAGGAATTGGGGTTACTTTCTTTTTCTTCATTTATCTTATTTTCTTATTATGAGCTATATAGGGTGCAGCAGTTTAATATGGTGGCTTTTAGAATGCTACTGAAGGGGAATTGGGGCACACGGTAGCATAGTTGGTTGAGGCACTGTACTACAAAGCTGGAAGGTCACGGAATTGAATCCCGATGAGGTCATTGGATTTTTTCAATTTACCTAATCCTTCCAGCCGCACTGTGGCCCTAGGGTCGACTCAATCTCTAACAGAAATGGGTACCAGGAATATTCTTGGGGGTAAAGGACGGCCGCCGCATAGGGCTGACAACCCTGCTGCCATCTATGAGCCAATTGTCTAGAAAATGTGGAAACCTCAACATCTCACAACCCTATGGGCCTCCAAGGCCTGTTACAGAGATACCTTTACTTTTTTACTTTTACTGAAGGGGATTTTGGTTGAATAAAAATAATTTTATTCAAAATGAAACAGTGTCATGAAACATACTACATATTCATTTTTCAAAATACATTTATTTAAGCATTCTCCACAACATGATACAATCCTGAAGTCTCAATCAGAGATCCTTCATAACGCTTTGCACTGCCACTGCATCATCCTCAGCAATATGCTCTTTCAACTCCAAGATGTGGTGATGGTTCAAGATATGCTACCCTAAAGTTCAGATTTTGAATATCTCCATAGGAAGATGACCTAAGCGGCCAGGCAGTGTCACCAAATCATGAAATGAGTGCCCACGAAATGTGGCTTTCAAACAGTTTGATTCCTCTGGGCTGTAATGCATGGTGGCGCTGTCTTGTTGGAACCAGATCTCACGATCCACTTACATCCACATCCATCACATGAAAATTTACTAACAGTGATGAATGGGCCGCGCCATAGCTCAAGCGGTTAGTTGCTGGCTTTCCACCGCGGCGGCCCGGGTTTGATCCCAGGTCTGGTCAAGTGGGATTTGTGGTGGACAGTGACGCTTGGGCAGGTTATCTCCGTGTACTTCGGTTTCCCCTGCCAATCTTCATTCCACCAGTTGCTCCACAATCACCCTCACCTATCATCTGAAGCTGGTACAATAGGCCAGAAGTGGCCGCAGTACACTGGACTTAGTCCCACCCCACTAGCAATAAAAAAAACGGTGATGTAGTTACCAAATGTGATCACTTATTTTATTGTTATTATCTTCCTTAGTGGGTTGTGCAGACCACTATTCTGGAGAATGCTTTTTATAGAGCAGTGCAGGTGGCACTGGGGATGAGTTTATGGAACCAAGGGGGCAGTGAGATGAAAAGGTTTGGGAATCACATGCTAAAAGTGTCAGCCTGTTTCTCCCTCTTCTTCTAGCAAGAAGAGAAGCTAGCTACAATACTTGAACCTTCTATTTTGGGTCTTAACAAGGTTTTTAATATGTTTGCAGTTAATTTTGATGTACTTACACTAAAAGAGAACCTCACTCTTTGTTGAACCTCCATTGCATTCATGTCCATTCTAAGGAGCATAATCTTTTAAAGGCTGATTCTTGAACATACAGTGTTTCACTGGTCTGTCCGCATCATTACTTTTACAGCTTCCAAATTATGTTGTAGATGTTCCATGAAGAGCTCTACTGTGTAAGCTACATCTTTAGCAGCAGAATATAGTATATACATTGGCAAATTATGAAGATTTAATAATGGTAATTTGCCAAACAGTTATAACATAAAAATAGTATAAGATTACTCAGTTGCAGCATTTTTATTTTTACTGATGGTGCACAAACTTACTCATTTTATGTGTAGCTCTCCAGTATTGGAACGTCATAGTAATTTGGTGTCCCAGCAATCAGTTGGTCATCGGAACCCAGCACCCACAGCACAGTCCCCATCATGGCTCGACTATGCCAAGATTCGTTATGGGGGCAGCCATCACGATTCTGCTGTGGAGGATGTTAAACGTTTGGGAATAATCCTTCTCCTCTTCTTCTGTCTACTTCCTTATTGGCTTGTTTTTTTCCAGGTATACTGTTCATGAAATCATGAAATAGGCATTTTTAATTATTCATTTAGTAGTCTCATTTTTTCTGTGAATATCATTGCCAAATTTTCTGCCTTGTCTGTATTTCATTAATTAATTGTGCTGCAGTTTTGATATGACCAAAGAATTAGGGATGTTAACTTGTAGTTTATATGAAAATGTGACCTACCACAGCACAACCTCACTGTCCACTCAGCTGCCAGCACACTCTTGTGCTCTTCAACCTTCCTCCATGATTTGAGTTCCCAACTGTTATTAACCATTAGTTGAGCTACAAATATAGCTGAAGGAGATGAACACAGTTTGCTGCATAACAGACATGGTAAGAAAGTGAGACTTCACAAAACTGACTTCCATTTCACATTTCCAACAGCTATAATTGGTATTTATCCTTTAAGAGCCTAGGGACACTGTATGGAGACCTTTAAAATGTAGTCGAGTGGCCGTGCGACACCGTATGGGTACGTGCAGTCCACACATGCACACAGTGTTTTAAAATCTAATTTTAAGATAGAAATTCTTGTTCTACTTACATTATTTTTGGGCACCAGCTTTATAAGTAGACAGTCTTCCCTCCTGCGTCATCTAACTGAATGCAGAGTCCGATGCAATTCATGCACTTTGTCTGGATGTAACTCTGTTTCCCACATGAAGAGCACACACGACACTTCAGTCTCATATTAGAGGAAGTCGGCCAGTGATGTCTAGTGGCCTCCTCTAATTGAGATATTGCCGATGACACAGTAGGTGGTCGACCCATGAACCACTGAATGTGAGCACAGAAGCAGAGGAAATTGTAGGGATCCATCACCGGGCAATGACTGGTGAAGACACAGCAGACTGCAAAGACTTAGTACATACTGTAGTAATCTACAGTGTGTGTGAATTAGCGATAGTGCTATAGTTACTTGTAGTTACTCTCTGTAAGTGTTCAGTAAATCTAATTACCAATCCAAACCCCATCTATAGTCACTTATCATGTGATAATATATATATATATATATTCTGAACACTGTGTTTGTTATCATGTCATACCCGTTTTCCATTTCAATAATAAAGCATATCCCAGACTAATTTTTTAGAATTTTAAATTGTGTGATATTTTTATTTTTGCACATGCCTACATAAAACCAATGTGCAAATTTTTTTGAGACGTTATCAGGATCGATTTATGGAAGTCTGGGTTCAAACCCCGGATAGCGTGTAGAACTTAGGTGACAGAATAATACTAGAACAGGTTTCATTCAGTGTGCTTGTGTTTTTCTCTACAAGTCAACATTATAGCTGTGTGCCATATTGAGTCACTACATCTTCAAGCAGACAGCACATTATTGCAGATTTGATCCTCAGTTGAGGGTCTGGGACTTGCTTGGTGTTAGAATAAATACTGTACAAGCCTGAATATAAGGTGACCTCCATTTTTCCAATGAGAAAATCAGAAGAATTTTTTGTTACATGAAACTGCCGAGGTTTACTCCACATAATCATCTTCATATTTATTCTTAAGAACCAAAAAGTAATGTGACTCCTCTTATGTGAGAAGTACAATTTCAAGAAAAATTGCCTTTTACTTGGGCTAGTAAAGTACATTAACTAACAAACCCCAATAATCTTTCCAGATAGAGACAGGATTCCAGGAACAGGGGCTGCATTTAAAAATTGGCTTTCCTCAAGATGGCAAGGCTAGCAATTTCAATGTAAGTTTTGTGCCTTGCTCAGTCTGACACTAAAGCTAAGACAATTTTTTTCTAGTTACATAGTAATGAAGTTAGTAACTGTGAAGCTGCATGAAAATGGATTACTAAGGTGTGTGTACATGTAATTATATATAATTGTGATAGTTTGACAAACATATTTTTCATAGTTTCTTCTTGTTCTCACTGTTAAATCTCGAGGTTTAGTAGGTTGTCTTAGATTGAATAGGAAATATACCGTGGTAACATAAATAGTACATATATAATTTTCTATTAATAAAAGGTAAAAAGGTTTTGTCTGTGCCTAATTAAGTACCCTACCATGAAGATGTACGGAGGAGTGGATGTATAGCTCCACCATTCATGATCTTGGCACTGTGTAGATGAGTGGTCAGCTTTATGCACTGACTGCTTTACCACTAGGGAAAGAGCCCCTGGTACCCATTAGATAGGGAGTTTGGTGGGACCCTGGGCCAGTCTGGATGCTGTGAAGAAGATAAGAATCTCTTAACTCTGCCACAAATCAAACCCTGGCAATCCAGCCCATAGCCCATTGCTATACTGACAGCTATCCCAGCTTTCAATCTTTTATTGGTATCCAAGAAGAATTACGACCCTTCAGTATTGTTCCTATCCATACAATTAACATATGTCCATGCTGATGGAAAGTGATGTGTCATCAGCAGGCTGATTTTCCTTCACATTTGCAAGAGATCACCCTTTTGCTTGCTGGATGTTTTATCTTTGGTGAAACTGCTTCTGTTGGAGAGGTTCATTTATCTTTTGGAAAAGATCAAAGGCACAGGGACTCATATACAATGGAATATGATGGGTGTTCAATGGTTTACCACTGCCACCATGTCAGAAGGTTTTGGTATTGGTGGCTGCATATGGGAACATGCATTGTCTTGCAATATAATCTGTTCAATTATACAAAAATAATGGTGCTTTTGTTGCAGTGCCAGACACAGATGATGCTTCAGAAACTTGTGACGATAATGTATATTGGCAATTTGATCCTATGAGATTGCATGGCAGAATATGACACAATCATCATATATCACAACCTTCGTAATTTGATGTTACTTGGCACTTGTCAGCAGTTATTCAAAGAGACTGTGGGTGGTGTTGTCCATTATATTGCTCTTTTTGAGTCTGGCATCATTTGACTGCCCGTATTTCATCCATGGATATGATGCAGTGCAGGAACTGACCCCCTTCAGTGAGGTTCCATTTCAGGTGAAGGGTAATGAGTGTGTATTAGTGCCATTTTTGCATCTCAACATGATGCAGTCTTGGGCATCTCAAGGATGTCTTTAAGGCAGACAGTTCTGTTACATAGCTCACCCCAGTCTTAGCTGTCAGCTGTACTTTCTGCTCTGTCCACATGCAGTAGGGCCTGAATGCTGCTTAACCTTCACTATGTCCTGGCCATTGTGAAATGATGTCATCCAGGATGTGACCATATGATACAGCAAAACTTCCTGCAGACCTCATCAACACACACTCACATTATATCATTGTGTGACCTCAGGCTTCATCCAGAATTGTTGCCCAAATATTGTAAACATTTACTTCAAAGCACTCTGTTATAAGGTGTCTAAATGCTTGCACATGCATGTCAGATAGATGTGCAGAGGGCCATAGATTGGTTGATATACTTGCCACCTTTGCTGCTAATATCATACTATCTGTTTTCTGCCCTTGTGCAATTCTTTGGCAATGTAGGTGCTTTCTTTTTTTAACCTTCATACAGTATTTCAGTTATTTATTTCTTGTAACTGTCAATATCATTACAAAGGTAAACAGAAATAGCAGACACGTATTTATTATAGTAAGATACATAACCAGTATTGTTCATGTGTCACTAGAAAAAAAATACTTTCTGGCCTCACTTATTACTGAAATGGAATTTCTTCAAAATAGCCTTAATCCAACAATGATGCTGATTTATAATTACTAATTTCTGTTTTATGCAGATGCCCACAGCATGGCTGAGTCTGTTTGATCAAGTATTCATCCTGGCATTGATTCCACTTATGAATGGTGTTGTATATCCAACTCTTGATAAGATTGGGGTTCGTGTGTCCCTTCTCACAAGAATTGGTAAATATTTTCACAAGGCTTATGCTGGAAAGAAGAATGTACTGCATGATTTTACCTGCCACTTTAAATAGTTGAGGAATTAAATTTGTTTCTTGAATGGAAGATCTAAGAGGAATAAATTAGTAAGAAATGCATAAAATAGCAATAACTTGATGATTAGGTTGATATTTAGTACTGTTAAGATAATTAATTAAGATAAGATATTCAGATAGTTTGAGTGCAGACAAATTGTTGTCATGTAAATATAAAAGCTATTAAAGTAACAGAATGAAATATAAAGCAGGCATGCGCAAGAATTACTTTTTCAGTTCAAGATGAAAATTTGGGAAGTTTTTTTAGAATTGAGATGAGAATGGACCACCTCTGTGGTCTAGTGGTCAGAGTTTTTGGCTACAGATCCAGAGGTCTGGATTTGATATCTGGCACTACCAGATTTTCTGAGAAGTAGTGAGTCTGGAACAGGGTCCACTCAGCCTCATGAGGATAATTGAGGTATTTGAAGGAAATAGCAGCTCCAGTCTAGAAAACCGAAATTAACAGCTGGGGGGATTCATTGTGCTGACCATGAGACGCCCTCTATCCACTAAAGTTGGCATTAACTTCACTGAAAAGTGCGGTTGCTTGGTTGGTATAGTTCACTTGCGGACTAAAACAACACTGTTTATTTGATATGAGAATGACAATTTTCTATACTAAACCAAATTTTCATCATAGTCACACTTTAAAACCAGAGCTACTCACAATGTAATGAAGAGTAATACTTCTCATTATTGATATCAGATTCTTTTTCATTGAAAAATTTTTGTAAATTATTATATTTAAGAAATTCATTGCTTTGTACTGTCATTGCCAGTCATTATGAATCTGATGCATAGGATAGATTACACACAGCCTCACAAAGCAAAGCAGTTACTTGAAAATTCTCAGAGTGTGAGACTGAAATGTTATTGTTTGAATCTATATCAAAATATTACTTTTCTTGGTTGTGACTTGCACATGCATGATATAAACATAAAATTCAGATGGTGTATTGAATGACCATTAATACCATGCGCTGGTACCAGTAATTAAGCCACTGAATAAAGCACCAATAATTTTAAGTAGTGTGAATGATGAAATTCTGTGCATGGTTAAATATTATCTTTCTTATTTTATATACATGAGGTAAATTAGTGTAATACAATTCTGAAACTTTCTAAAAACATTTTGTAAAGAGTGGTGTGGCCTGTAAAAGGACACATCATAATTTTTAAGTGAACAGTGAACTTAGAATTTGATTCCTTTCAAAATAAAAGAGTTATTTTAGATACAAAGTAGATAACTTTCAGTCCAGTATGACATACAGGTTTACAACACTTCAGTCTTTATTCGCCTTACATGTTTCGATTCAAAAGAATCATCTTCAGAGGCACACCACTATGAGCAGGAAACACTGTCACATAAGATGTTTTAACATTATGCACTTAGGTTATGAATAGTGCTCAGTGAATCACAGTTTGCCCTATGCAGCCACGTTGACATGTAGATTTACGTATGATGTTTCGTTTAAGCGTATTTGCTGGGTATTCGATTGGGGTTTCCCACTGCACGCAATGTGATGTTCACTTTTCCATAAAATAGCTTCCCTATGTATTTAAAATTGTATTAAAAATCTTTTGTAAAAAATTAGTTATTATGTTAAAAATTGTGAACCAGCATTGGGTCATGTTGTTTTTTCTCCGGATGGTAGATGTCGATTATTTCTCTTGGTTGTATGTTCTGTAAATATATTATTATATTAATTTTTCTATCTTATATAGTTATATATAGTGCTTATAAGGTTATTGTCTAGTTAGGCCTTACCTTATTGTTAGTTGTGTAGTTTACGTGCATGCTGTGTCGTATGTACTGTTTTGGGGAGTACTGTGTCACGTATTATATTCTTCCTGTGTTTATGACGAAGAGGGTGTGTTCAAGTGATGTATAATAAGGTCAAACATGTTGTTTTGATTGTTTGTTTCCCTTATTTGTTTCTGTTCGTCTATCAATTTATTGTGTTTGTTGTGGTAATATATTTGGAATTCTCTTTTATGTTCATTATATTACCCTTATTAGCTTTTTTGATGATTTCCATGACCGTTGAGATTGGTCCATATTGATGACGATTATTTAGAATATGTTGGGCGTAAGCGGAATCATCTCTATTTAATCTTATACTTCTTATGTGTTCGCTATATCGTGTTGATAATTTCCTTCCTGTTTGGCCTATGTATACTTGATGACAACTTTGGCAAGTTAATTTGTATATACCACTTTGCTCGTATGGGTTTGTGTTGTGTCTTTCGTGTAATGTTCTGCCTATTGTGTGGTTTGTTTTAAATGCTATCTTTATATTAGTGTTTTTAAATAGTTTTGCAATTCACAACCCAAGTGCATAATGTTAAAACATCTTATGTGACAGTGTTTCCTGCTCGCAGTGGTGCGCCTCTGAAGATGATTGTTTTGAATCAAAACATGTAAGGCGAATAAAGACTGATGTGTTGTAAACCTGTATGTCATACTGGACTGAAAGTTATCTACTTTGTAATTAATAGTGTGACGGACCAGAAGGGACAAATCAAATTATTTTAGATACATTAAACTGCAAATTTGAAATCGGTAAAAGTGACTTTGACGATTCCCTGATTTGTACCGTTTCTTTTAATTTTTAAAATAACCTATCACTACAAGATTCAAGCACCAAAAAACATTTCATTGATTCACTTCATGTCTCTTCTTTTATACAGCGATAGGAATGGGTTTCAGTCTTCTGGCAGCAGTGTCTGCTGGAGTGCTAGAGTTTTTCTCTGTTCAGCGGTGGAGAGAGGGGTATGTAACTTGAGTTTATAGTTTTCTGTAATACCTTCATTTATGAAATAGAAACCAATGCATATTCTGGAATTACAGTCTTGCGGGACATGATGCTGTCTAATTTGGTAGATGGGTTTCAGTGTTTTGGAGGAAATTGCTTCCTCCACCCTTAGGGTATCTATATGGTGTGACATCCCAAAAGATTGTAATCTTAATATCCATCACTGTGAGAACCTCAAATCTCATACAGTGAAATTCTGCTTTCAGCTTCAAGTAGTCTGAAGTGTGTGGATTCTGGAAAATGCACATTTAAGAAGTTTGGTAAAAGTTTTTCATGTTTGAGACAATTTGTGTAGTCACATATTTATTCTCCTTCCTCCTTGCACTTTCTTGGAAGGAAGTGCTGTATTTTGAATTTCCTTTTGTTTGATGCGGGGGCACTATGCTACAAGTCAGAAGGCCACGGGTTCAATACCTGATGAGGTGGATTTTTTTCAGTTGATCTAATCCTTCCTGTCACACTATGACCACGGGGTTGATTCAGCCTCTAACGGAAATGAGTACCAGGAATCTTCCTGGGGGGGTAAAGAGCGGCTGGCGTGTAAGGCTGACATCCTCACCACCATCTGTGAGCTGACTGTCTAGAAAATGTTGGAGCCTAGACATCTCACAACCCTATGGGCCTTCATGGCCTGTTACAGGGATAGCTTTATGTTTGATGCAGATAACCCCCATTTAATGTTCTTTAATACAGTTTTCCATGTCATGTTAAATTTTAATGATGCAAGTTAGTTGTCACTGTAAGATTTTTCTTGGTTCAGTGTTCAAATCTGTTTTCCTGCAGAAAAGCTTTAAATAAGGGCTTCACTGTATACAATGAAATTACAACACTCATAAAAATTTAAGCTTTCTAAAATTAAATCTTATAAGTAATATGTGCAAAATTGTGTAAAATACACCAGTTCATACAAGCACTATATATTCATGGAACTTGTTTAGGTGGCATTTGCAACATTATTTGTCTGTGTAGGATTTGAGGCTTTCATAGCGGTGATTGAAGAGTTATAACTCACATGTTCCTTTGAAATGTTAATGGCCTTTCACCAGCCTACACAGTGCTGTAGTCCAGAACATAGAACTCTTCTTTATATATGTTGGATAGGAAGTTGTAACTATGAAGAGTATGTCTTCTGGGATGTAATGCCATGTTCTTTGGTAGAAGCTCACTGACACTCTGGAAGAACATACTGGCTCCATCTTTAAGGATGAAGATTAAGCCCAGGAAATGCCAGCAAGCTTTTTATCCCAAAAGATAATACTCTTCAGTGTTCAGTGCTTGTATACCTTCATATCATTGTGCACCCTCCCCAAGGTGTAACACTGCTCTAGAAGACAGACTGGATTACAGTTTACATTTTGAGTCCTTCTTAATAATTACTGACAAAATCTAATTTTGGAATATAAATTGGATGACATTAGCTGCAAACTTACGTGAAGGTCTAATGCAATAAATGTTGCTCACAAAGAACACTTCAAAGGAATATTTATGACAAATATTTTATGCTATGTACATTTCCTTTACATGATATGCCATTTTCAAAGCAACCACAAAATGTTTCCTTTAATTTACACATTGCTAGTATTGTAATGACATTTTGGTGTCAAAGACAGTAAACCATCAGTTCTGAACTGGTGGTACATTTAAGCTCATAAGAGGGTATATAAGATATACACTTCAAACATCTTTTGGGATATAATGCTGTATAGTCCATGGAAAGTCAACCAACGTTTTGAAGGAACATATCTCCATCTTCAGGGTCGAAGAGTAAGCCAAGCAAGAAACCAGCATGAAGCAGGTGGCAAGCACTTTCATGCTGGTTTCTTGCTTGGCTTATTCTTTGATCCTGAAGATGGAGGAGACATGTTCTTCTGAAACACTGGTTGATTTTCAACAGATTACATGGCGTTATAAAGCCAGAAGGCAGAACTCTTCACAACCACCACTATGAGAACCTCAATTCCTACACTGTCAAACACAGATCAAAAGAACCAAAAAATCATGACAGTTTTCTTCTGCACAACATTTCTGTGCAGGAAATAAATCAAGTTTGTTTAAAATGAAACAGCCTTTGTATCTTGTCATGTTTATAATCTGTGATAACACATGGTTTGAGACCAAAATTAAGTTGCCCTTGAAATGAGGTACATGAAATCTCACTGTGAGACAAAGGGTTTGTTGATTCAAAAAAGTTCAAAAACAGTCCAGTAAATAATTATGTACAAAAGGAGAGAATATTTAATGGCCAGAGAAAGGCTAAATAGAAACACTGACTCTAAACATTTAAGTTCAATGACAGAAAGTGAAGGATGATAATGTTGAAGACTAGTATGTGGTTGTTGGTTAGCCCGAGTTCATAAAGTGTGTGCAGTCTACCAGGAGATCTTAATAGATAATTTGAAAATGAGCTGCATTGCTCCTTCATTATGACAATGCACCTGCCCACACGTCCCTGAAAACCACAGTTTGTGACTAACAACATGGTTATCATTCCCCATCCTCCCTACCAGCTGGACTTAGGTCCCTGTGATTTCACTTTGTTTCCCAAATTGAAAATGAAACTGAAGGGACAATATTTTAAACAGTGTCTGACATCGAAAGAGAATCGCGAGTGGTACTTGACAACATTAAGGAAATGACTTCCATGGTGCTTTTGAAGCATGGAAGAAATGGTGGAATCACTGTATACATTCCTGAGGAGACTGTTTTGAAGGATATGGCAGCCAAAGTTGACTAAGTTAAGCCAGTATTTCTTTTATGACCTAGTCCTGGAACTTTAAAAACTAATGGGCTTTGAATATATATATATAAAATTTATGTTTAACACACAAAAGAAGCTTCCATCTCTTACGTGACCCTAACGACAAGAGTCATTAAGTGAGTGGCGGCAACACCACCAATGACATAGCAACGCTGATTCCTGGCATGGGCAGACAAAACCAATGTGATCCCCTGGGTTGGTCATATGCCTTACTAGAGCGCTGCTTTGCTCATGGCAGTTGTTCATACAACAAGAGTGAAACAATGAAGCAGTGTTGTTACTGAGTGATCCATAGAATATTTTCTTAAGAGGAACAAGCCTATATAAAGATTCAGGTGGTGTGGGATAAAACTGCACATCATTGCCTTAGAGCACTTTGTCAGGCATGTGGGGACAATACTTTGCTGTATTGTATTGTGGAACGCTGAGGACAGGTCTCCAAAAACAGTAGAGATGAAGTGAAAGGCAAGCATTATATCAGGCATTGTGTATCAGCAGCAGGTGAACACCACATTGCTTGCCTACTTGAACTGCTGGCAGATGGCAGCTGTTGGTCATAGCAGGGACTTGGCTGATGTGTAAGCATTAGTGCCCCAGTGATACTGTACATCCTACATGATAAACTGGCAATGAGGAATACTGCAATATGATGGGTCCCACACTCTTTATCTGAGATCTACATATGGAAGTACTTGGAAACAAATTATGTTCATCTTGAGTGGTGTGAAAATTAAGGTCATGCATCTTTTGACAGAAACATTGCCATCAATAAAATGTGGGAATGCCTGTACAAATTGAGTTGAAATGACGGGCAAGTAAATGGCCCATCTTCTCCATGTCCCAGGAAGTTCAAGCTGGTACAGCTCAGATAATAAACTTCATGGTATACAGTCACCAATGGGTTACTGTTTGTCACACAGAGAGACAGTGAATGCATAGTATTATGCCGACTTTTAAGGCCAGCACTTTGTTGAAAGTGGCATGGGTAGCTCGCTCTTGCGCCAGTCATGCAGCAAGACAGTACAAAACTTATCTTTGCACTTTTCTGTTCTGCACACATTATGATACTGAAACCTAATTTCAGAGTTCCCTCATTCTACATCAGATGCTTAGTGAGCAAAGTCACACAGTATGTGGACGAAATACCTGGTGTTACATTCTGTCAGTGTTTCTGTCTGCCCTGATCTGGTAAGTACTTCTCTCCTGTTCTAAGACTGCATCTCTTTGACACACCCTACTGCTGAATATATGACTGCTTTGTATTGTATTCTGTATGCTTAACATGATCTTCCTGCTTTGGAAGAGGTTCATATGGGTCGTGCTATTTAAAAGCCAACATGGTTTTATACAAATGTTTCAGTTTTGATACAGAAAAACTAATTGATTGTAAACTTCCTTCATTTCAGACTGAGAATTTATGTTTTGTCACATCTATGGACTTCTTGTAATTTTCTTTGCAGGCATGGAATTATTCAGGTGATTCACAACTGGACATATAATGCTAGTGATATTTCCCTGCTGTGGCAGGTACCTCAGTATTGTTTAGTGGGGTCAGCAGAGGTCTTTGCAGGTGTTGCTGGTAAGTTTGGCATAAGAGCTAAATATTTATCATCCAGGAATAGGGGATTTTAAATCTCCCAGTATGCTGAGGCTGCTAGCTGGATTTTAATTCAGGGGTAACATTATTAGGAGGCATGTATGAGTCTCGAGGCCCTGTGTAACATTTTGTAATTAAAAAAAAATTGCAGTAAAGAGTGTAACTACTCCTTACTGTAAAAAAACACAAGCTAGAGCAACACCATTCAGGTCAGAACCTTTTTGTCTGTAATTTTGTATGGATATGAAACTTAGTCTCTGATATTAAGGAAATAATGTAGAGTGAGCATATTTGAGAACAGTGTTTTTTTATTGGACAAATAATCTGTGATACTGTCTCTTTGGTTATGACCCATCCAGGCAGGCCGTAAGGGCTAGGAAATGACAATTTCCTCTAATTCTACATCTTACATAGCAGAGGTACTGCATCTGTCTATAGCTGCCTGGTCTTTGTGGTAGCAACAATTTGTCTCTTGAAGATTACAGGAAATAGCCATTCAGAAAAACATTAAAAATCCAAGTGGTATTGAGTTTTCATCTAAATGCAGCAGAACTTTTCTGTTTAATCTGTTTTATTCCCCCACAAATTTAGGTACACATATTATACGAAGGGCGTTCCATATATAATGCCTCCTATTTGTTTGTGTTAATATGTAATGTCTGAGCTGGATGTTGGTGGTGTTGTAGTAAAGGTTGAACCTTCCCGCCAATCTACGGTTAGTTTGGTTGTCATGCGACAGATAGCAACAGCAGAGCAGTCTACCAAAATGGCGTCTGACATAGAAGTGCATATGAAACAGAGATGTGTTATTGAATTTCTCACTGCCGAACAAATTGCACCCATTGACATCCATCGACGCTTGCTAAAGGTGTACGGAAACAATACAGTAGATGTCAGCACAGTGATGCAGTGGGTAGTGTGTTTCAACAGTGGCGAAAGTGAAGTGCATGACAAGCCACGCCCTGGGCGTCCCTACTCAGCTGCCACTCCTCACAATGAACAGCACCTCAATCAGCTCATACAGATCAGTGGATAAGGACCAGGGAACTGTATACACGGCTTAATATCAGCTGTAATGCATTGGAAACGATGTTGGGGAAGCTGGATTATCGCAAAGTTTGTTCCAGGTGGGTCCTGCGGATGCTTACACAGGACCACAAAACTCATCGAATGGAACTCTGTCAGGACCTGTTACACCAGTTTGAGGCTGAAGGTCACAAGTTTCTGGACAGCATCGTCATCGGAGATGAGACATGGTGTCACCACTATGAGCCAGAATCCAAAAAACAGTCCAAGGAGTGGCGACATCCGGATTCCCGAAGAAAAAAGAAGTTCAAGACAGCCATTGGCAGGGAAAATGATGTGCACGGTGTTTTGGGATAGGCAGGGTATGATTTTGTTGGATTTCCTGGAGCCTGGTGAGACTGTCAATTCTGAATGCTACAAGATGACGCTGACAAAGCTGGAAGCCCGCATTTCCCAAGTCAGGCCAGAGAAGCAGACAAACTTTTGCTTGCAACACGATAACGCTAGACCCCATACCAGTTTGGCTGGACTGTCCTACCACATCCACCTTATAGCCCCGATTTAGCACCTTCAGACTTCCATGTCTTTGGACCTATGAAAGATGGACTATGTGGGCAACATTTTCCAGACAGCGATGCTGTCATTGCAGCTGTAAGAAAGTGGCTAGCCTCTGCTGGCGCAGACTTTTACAGGCACAGCATACATGCTCTTGTTCATCTTTGCAAAAGTGCATAATGGTGGTGATTATGTGGAAAAATAACCGTAAGTAGCTGAAATCTTACTCTATTTAACTGTTATTATGCTTTCTGTATCTGTTGTAGTTTTCATTAAAAAAATAGGAGGCATTATATACGGAACACTCCTCATATTTCAGCATCCTGTTACACTGATTAAATTAATGTATTTTTCCCCTAAAAACCAGGACACTTGGTAAAAAAATGGGACATAATGAGAATTAATAAAAACAAAAAATCAACAGTACAATTTATATTAAATGCACTTGCATTTTTCTGTCACTATATGGATGAAAACCAATAAATTCTCACAGGCACTCACAACACAACATAATGGTCGACAAAGAATGCAGAGAATGATACAAATGGAAGTTCCATTATGGAAGCAAATCAAAGTGCTGCCAACATAAATAATAAAAGAGACATATTGTTAACAGAAAAACTGATAAGTTGTGAAATTGTGTTTTGTGGATTAGCCATACAGAAATGCCAGTTGCAGAGAATAGCATCCAATAATGAGCAGTTATCAATAGAAATTAATGTTACAGAAGAGCACTTAAAAAGCGGGACATTTGAAATAAATCCGGGACAGTGGGACATTATATGAAAAAAATGGGACAAATAGGAACCCTATCCTACACGTACATTCCATTTCACCGTCATTGTAACTCTCCAGGCTATCTTCTGATGAAATGTGGTTTCCAACTAGTTCTTCTGCAGAATCTGTGTCATAGTACAACTCTCACATTGGGCCAGAATCTTCTGACTTAGCAACACAGGCATGTTTTGATGGGCCTGCCATGCTTACTTGCTGTGTGTTCAAAAGAAAATATGGATAGAATCCAACACTGACCATTTAGGGATACAAACCACCACTGATAACATACACTATTCATTGTACTTTTCTTTGTATGAAAGGTCAAAGTTTGAAAACAAAGGCTGTGTAATACCAGACTGAGAATGACTGACATAATATTGAAGTCAAACTGCCTCCACAACTGTTCACTCCATTAGTGAAGGATTTCATCTTACATAGAACCTGTGGGTTCATAACACATGATCAACAGGTCTGAGAATAGAAGTGGGCAAGTTTCTAAGTAACATCTGGTGGGGAGCTGAGAAATAAAATCTTGACGCTAAAAAACTTGAGACACAACAGTGCTCCACTGTTAGAGTTAGTATTTTTAACAGCCTGCTCTGTGGTGTGAATAATGAGATTGTGGCAGGGAGCTAATTTTGCCTTGCAACACTGCAATTTATTTTGAGCTTGTAAGGCCCCTGAATATTGTTATGTGCAAGCACCACCAAAGTCGTCATTTAGCATTCTCAAAAATAAGTGTCCTAACATTGAATTAACCATTTAGACTCTGAGGGCTAATGTAATATATGTTAATGTTCAGTCTCAAGGAAAACGAATAGGCTTATGAGAGCAACGTGCCGATTCCATGTCACTTCTTTCAACTTTCACACCTATTAACTGATACAGCAAAATTTGATTTGAAAGTTATGCCACTGGAGAACACACCTTCTACTTCTTTATTTCCTGTAATGCACAAACTTGTGAAGTGGAAGTCACACTACTGCCACATAATATAGGAACTGAATTTATATATATAAGGTAACTGTTTTGTAGAGCATACAAGAATATCATTGCAGCAAAGCAAAAATCTTCATTTAGCTTTTAGTTTGATATCAATGAACTGCTGAAGCAAGCAATATGAAGTTTGATGAGAAGATAGCCGTAAACATACTCACAAATTATGCAAGAAATATTGTATCTATACATTATAAGTCAACAGACAAGACAGTAGTTTGAATGCCTTACAAATTCAATGTAGCCAGAATTTGTTTTTCATATAAGTGATTTTGCATAGCCTGTGGTAGGCTTTAGGTTTTGAAAGTGGGTTATAGTCTAAAAATCATACTGTAGGATCCTTACAGCACTTTGTAAATATTGTCCATTCCTCCACAGGTCTGGAATTTGCATATTCTGCTGCTCCGCGCCCACTACAGGGTGTAGCTATGGGGATGTTCTCTGCTATGGAAGGTGTAGGGTCTCTGCTGGGTACAACACTTATCTCAGCACTGAGTCCTGTGTGGATTAGACATGACTCTCAACACTTCCAAGGTCATCTAGATTACTATTTCTTCCTGCTGGCAGGAATCCAGGGAGTAGCATTTGTTTTTTTTGCCAGCTGGTTGCTGGTTAGGAGATATCGTATTGTCAGGCAAGAAATTCCAGTAGGTATTACAACTTAGCTCTCTAGTGATGAAATATACTGAAGGTGCATGTTAACCAGAAAAGTCTTCAATAAGCAATTATTTCTCTCTGTCTATATATATATATATATATATATAGACCCAGTGTCTGATAAGTCCTGTTGCACCATCTTACCTCCACAGATTTCATGGAAGAATGCACTTCACACTTTACACACACAAACAGAAGAACCTGTAACCTGTTCTTTGTCTGCAACATGGCTGCTTTCATTCTAAATATGACAGTATATACTAACATTTGAAATAAAGAGTAACACTCAGATGAAAAGATTAAATTTCACTCTTTCAATTAAAAAGGCTTGGGAATGAGAATTTAAATTGCAGCCAAAATTTCTATAGGAAACCAAGACGAAAATACACACATATGTATCTTGTGGTGCATAAATTAAGAAGAGAACTATCAGTGAATGAGGGAGATTAGAACAGTGATTTTGTACATAGTAATGAATTTACTATAAACAAAATATATATGCATCTGTCTCTTATACAGGGTAATTCATAAATCTGCCAGGATTTCCAAACTCGGCAGCGCAACAACCAAGACAGACATAGCGGAAAGGAGCATATCAGTAGGTAGAGAATCTCTCCCAAATTTGTTTGGGCAGTAGGAGCCTTGGTGTACTTTCAGCTTTCACCGCTAGGGGGCAGTCATGGTGAAATATGGTGAGGACAGGGGAAATTCCAGCAGAGTGGCTGTCTGAACACTGTGAAACGAACAGGCCAGCCAGAGCAATTGGCTGAGACTGTCGAGCATGTGCAGCCAGTATCCTTTTGCACAAAGATGTTTGCACAGGATGTCCAGACACTTGACTGAGACATCTGAAATTCCAAGTTTGTGCAGTGTGTTGACATCTGAGGGCTCCTGGCAAAAGTTCCTTGGCTGATGGCCCCAGCTGGCTTGTTCATTTCACAGTGCACAGGCAGCCACTCTGCTGGAATTTCTTGTGCCACTCATGAATTGTTTTGTCCGTAGGTGGTTCTGTGTGGTACTTGGTCCAAAACCTCCTTTGTACTATCACAACTGACATAGTTTTGGTAAATTCCAAGGCACAGAAAGCTTTCTTATCCCCTGTCCTCACCGTGTTTTGTCACGACTGGCCCCTAGTGGTGAAATATGCAAGTACACCATGGCGCCTATTACCCAAAGAAACTTGGACAGATTCTTTACCTACTGAAATGCGCCTTTGTGCTGTGTCCGTCTTGGTTGTTGTACTGCCAAGTTTGGAAATCCTGGATGGGCTTATGAATTACACTGTATATGAGCATCCATGTATGGAAAAATAGCTTGTATCTTCATGTAATTACAAAAGCTTAAGGTAAAATAATATGATCAGGGCTTTATTTAACCAAATTTATAGATGTAAGAATTTTTTGTAAATATATACTGGTACTTACAGTAAAGAAAATTTAACAAGTTGTACTGGTTTTACCCATATGGTTTCTTTGAAAATGGTCAACACACAGTTTAGTTGATGATTTGCTTCCTGAGTATGGAATGTCTGTACATATTTCAAAGTAGCCATGATATTTTGTCTGAATAAGACGACAGTCTCATAAAAGCATGAGAACAGATAACTCATAATTAAGGTGTGATTTATGCCTGTACATGTCAGCTCTTGGTGATTAAGAAACCTGAAGGTATCATTTTCTATACTTGTATCATGTCATTGCTGCTGCAGTACCCAAGGAACCAATGTGAGGATGATTACATTTTATGAATTAGAAGTTCTTATATATCATGACATTTTTTCAGTCTCTGATTGAGAAAAATGGTAAAGAATATGTTGGGATGAGCAGCTACAGAATTAAATTTAGTTGCTGTGAGAAACAAAGTGTACAATTGGAATGAACAGGTATGAATAGGAAGAAAAACAGCAGTACAGATAAGACAGTACTGTATTTATCCAAAGAATGACAACTCTGAATTCAAAATAATCTTCCTCTCATCCCTTAAGCTTCCTGAATGACATTTTCACATCTTCTGTCCCAGTCACATGACTTTCAACAACCAGATCAACAACATAAGAAATCATAAAATACAGACATCTTTTACCTCATTTGTGATGTTAAGATGACCTTAAGTTGTTAAATACCTAAACAGAAAATAAGAAATCTTTCTTACCTGCAGATAAACACTGTATAGCATTCCCCCCCCCAAGAGAAATTCTGGTCTCTGTCAGATTTTGCAGTTTACATGGTTCTGTAAGATGCAATTGAGAGTTTCTGTGTATGTGTTCAAAATTATACTGTATGGTAAAAGTTAATATTTACTGTTGTGATAACTGAAAAATTGTCTTCTGTGGGGGCATTAGCATCCCTTTGGGGTACCAATAAAATTGCTCTGCTTATCTGTCTACAAGCATAAAACAACTCAAGAATGGAGAAACTGATTTTGTTTAAATTATGATATTAGAAAGTTTTATGAACAGTTGCTGAGCCATTTCATTTTTTCATATAGAGGCTCACTGGTGGGTTGTTTTGAACACATAAATGAACTTTTATGTTCCATAATATTCTGTGGAGTTTCTTGGCTAACAGAATTAAAGACAAGCTCTCAAGAAGGATTCTGCTGTAAGGAGTTAACTTGGACAATTTTAGTAACCACTTTGCAAGAAGTCTTACATGCATATCTGTGTGCAAATTGAGTGTAATTCACTAAATATTTATTGGAGAGAAAAAGGTTTTGAAAAAAAAATTACAGGGGAACATGAAAAACAGTTTGTCCAGTACACTGGTAGCACAAGTCTTGTGGCTTCTGAGGTAATGAGAGATGTGAGTGGATGTCCCATTATTATTATTATGTTATTTGTGCATTCCTAAATATACACTCCACAGCAAACACTGGTCTTCCATACGCATTTGGAGAATGCTGAGGTTCTGCGTGGTTTAAGACCTGAAGTGTTTTTTGTGTAAAAAGTGAAAATACACATTTAAATTGCATTTATCAGAGTTTTTGCTTAAAATCGTTTTACTCTATTTGTGACTGCATTAGAAGTAACATTCAGGAGACAATAACAGAGTGAATGTGCTAGAATTACATTCTGCATATATTTTTTAAGTGGTTAAAAAATTAGGAAGTTTTATTTTGGAAGTTATCACCTACTTTCCATAACATTTTTCTTTCATTGGTATGAACAAGCATGTAAGTGGTTAATGTTCCTATAGGCCCTGAATATAGTAATATTTTAATATATTTATATAAATAATGTAAGAGTTATGTGAGAGGAACATCTGTCTTATTTGTGTATATATAAGATGAAATAATTTGAGCCAATAATTGCATCATTCATAGCTTCCATAATTCAGTCTCTGTGATTTCTAATGGAGATAAAAGCAAACAGCACATGCAAGCAAGATACAATAGCTGGCTTTCAAGAAAAGTTTTCTTATAGGGATACAAAGTAGTGCCTCAGGAGGGCTTATCAGTGGCATTCATTTATGAGACAAAGGATGTGGCTGTAATTAAAAAACTTATGTAGTATTACAAGACTGTTAATGTAAGTGCTTATTAATTTATTTTATTAAAAGGGAAACACAAGCTTTTTGAATCAAATGTGTAAATTGTGTAAGACAGAACACAGTACTTACTGTAAGAGCCAATGCAATATGGAGCTCTTACTTTGTCTCACTTATTTTACATGTGTCAGTACTTGAATTTTACTGTCCTTTATGTCTGAAAATCTTTGTCATGATATACATTACTCATATACATAATCTGAGTTTTACCCATGTAAATGTCAGCTATAAAAACTTACCATCAATACACAGTCTTCATATGTAAATACATACAAAATGCTCTGTGAGAACCCCACAATTATGAGACAGTCATATAAATCAATAAAAATATGGTAGATAATATTCACGTGAGGTTGAGAAAAAATTTATCACATACCCACAGAAGCTCTGCTGAACCATGATCACTTAAGACACATAATTTTGGTTGTGATCCAGTTGACATTGGCACATGAAATTTCAGTTGTCACGTATGATTTGAGGCTTATAGTCAGGCTGTGCAACTTTTGCTAATGATTCGGCATAGAGATCAAAACGTTGTGTCATCTGAAACATGCATACGTTATGAATCAATTTAACAGAACTGTAATGATAGCTAGGAGAGTAAATGTTTTGAAATATTAACTATGGTAGAAGCAGGGAAACTATTATGTATGATTATGAAAGTTATTTATTACTAGGGATGCATCCTGTGTGCAGACTAATTTCCCCATCCATGAAACACCCAAATTCTGAAGCTCAGATTTTCCTACAAATATAGCTTCAGAGTGATTACTTGTTAGTCTAATCTTTCAAGTTATTAAAATATCTGACTTTCACCACCATAGTTTGATTTATTTTGGAGACTAATTAATTTACAATAATGACCATACACTTGAGCCTCTTTAACACATATTCACATGTAAACTACCACCAACATTCTCACCAAATTCATGATTTATTTGTGCACATCAAACCAAACATCAGCGTAAATTAAATTAAAGAAACCTAAACTCATCACTGATTTAATTTCTTTGCAAATGCATATAGGATGATATGGGTAAAGATGGCATTAGTCCATCAGTTGGACTCCAGGTCTAAACTTGAGTTGAAGGGAAGTAATAAAATTACAGTAAGTTTTAGACAGTGCAGCCTTGAAGTGAACTTATGCACTATGGGTTAGTCTGATTTGATGTGGGCCTTCCAACTCTCCTGCTTGAGTTTCTGCTTGCAAAAAAAGCTCACTGTATATTACAAATCAACAGGTTTGTCACCTCATTCATAAATAGCCCAGTAGCTGCTATAAACATACTGAATACATATGACAACAAGACAATTATGTTGAAGCTGTAATAATAATATGACCAACTGAAAAGCTGAATTTCATATCGTGGTACGAGGAGGACAGGAATTGTGAAGTTCAGATAAAAAAAATATTCAGTATATTGTTCAAGGTCTCACATTTCTGAACTTCATCAAAAATTGACTTAGTGATTACACATAATCCTGTCATTAAGTTTTTGAGGCCTGCATCTGGCGTGTAACGTCAGCTGTAAGGGTTCTGTTATATTGTACGAGGGGCGTTCAAGTTCTAAGGTCTCCAATTTTTTTTTCTCAGGACTGGTAGCAGATAGACACATGCGGTTTAGTTTATATTACATGTGCACTCTTTGTGAATGTGTGGCAGAGATGGCAGCACTGTATGGCACACAGAACTCTCGTGGTAGGGCGAAAGTGAGGAGTGTTTTTGATACCTAAAATGGCGATGTTTTCATTACAAGAACAATGAATAATCGTTCGTTTTCTCCACTTGCGTGGTGCGACATCCATTGAAATTCATCGCCAGTTGAGTGAGACATGTGGTGATGGTGTCATGAATGTGAAAAATGTGCGTTCGTGGGTGCGACAGTTCAAAGAAGGTCGAACGTCATGTGACAACGAACCAAAACAACCTCGGCCTCACACCAGCCAGTCTGACAACATGGTCGAGCGAGCTGAGAAAGTTGTTTTGGAGGATCACCGATTGAGTGTGGAAAACATTGCCTCCAAAGTTGGCATTTCCATGGGATCTGTGCACACAATCCTGCACGAAGACCTGTGAATGCAGAAAGTGTCCTCCAGGTGGGTGCCATGAATGCTGGCGGACGACCACAAGGCTGCGCGCATGGCAATTTGCCAGGTGATGTTGACATGTGATGAAGGCGTGAATGGGACTTTCTTTTCATCAATTGTGACAATGGATGAGACATGGATGCCGTTTTTCAATCCTGAAACAAAGCGCCAGTCAGCTCAATGGAAGCACACAGACTCATCACCACCAAAAAAATTTCAGGTAAGAGCCGGTGCTGAAAAAATTATGGTGGCCATGTTTTGGGACAGCGATGGTGTAATCCTTACTCATTGCGTTCCAAAGGGCACTACGGTGACAGGTGCATCCTACCAAGATATTTTGAAGAACAAGCTCCTTGCAGCACTGCGAGAAAAACGGCCGGAAAAGGCTGCACGTGTGCTCTTTCACCAGGACAATGCACCAGCGCATCGGGCGTACGCGACGCAGCAGTTTCTTCACGAAAACAACCTTGAGGTGGTTTCTCATGCTCCCTACTCACCTGATGTGGCTCCTAGCGATTTTTGGCTTTTCCCAACAATGAAAGACACTCTCCGTGGTTGCACATTCACCAGTCGTGCCACTATTCCATCAGCGATTTTCCAGTGGTCAAAACAGACTCCTACAGAAGTGTTCACAGCGGCCATGGAATCATGGCGTTGACGTTGTGAAAAATGTATATGGCTGCAGGGACATTATGTTGAAAAGTGACAGAAGTTTCAAATTTTTTTGTATGATTACTGTGCAAGAAAAAAAAATCTGAGACCTTAGAACTTGAATGCACCATGTATGTTGAAGATGTTTAAGTATTCTAAGGGCATGTATCTGTAGACTAATACATCAGGACATGATCCCTTCGCATTGAATATCACCACATTCTACCTCCCTGTCCTTAATCCCACAACCAGACCTTTACAACAGACAACATCCTTCTCCTACCCTGGTCACCCTAACAATAGCAACTGCAATGTATGCTGAAATGTTGGAACAGCTTTTCGAACATCACTGAAAATCACAGGAATGAGATTATGTTGCAGCATGTTGACTGGCTGCAAAGTAATGACTGTAAACAATGACTGATTCCTAACAAGCAACAACTGAACAGCAAGAGAGGAACGATGTTTTCTGTGCAGTGTGCTGAGCAGCAATTGAACAGCAACAGAGGAACGGTGTTTCCTGTGCAGTCAGTGGTGAGATTTTATAACCAGGATAGTAAGGGAGAGTTAGGAGTGTAATGCAGTGCAGGGAAGTGAAGAGTTGGTTGGTGGGTGAGTTAGAGAATTTCTGTTTAGTTGTTGTGAGCTGTTGCTGTTAGAAGCTGGTATTTAAGGCACGGGGATAGTTCAGGGATCTAGAGTAAGGGGAAGGTCTGCCATTGGAAGCCATTACCAGGCAATGACTGGTGAAGACACAGCAAACTGAGAAGACTTAGTATGTGCTGTAGTGAACTGCTGAGTATGTGAATTAGTGATAGTGCTACAGTTGCCTGTAGCTGCATTCTGGAAGTGTTCAGTGAATCCAAGTACCAATCTGAACCCCATCTATAGTCACTCATATATGCGACAATATTATTGGCAGTTGCATGGTTATGATGCATAGTCTTCTGGTATGTAATTAAATTCATGTGCACTTGTAAGTGTGTGATCTGTTTTTCCATTGTCATACTGGGGAAAATGAAAGCCTGACAGTGCAAGTAATATGATAGCTAAATACTGTGTTCAGCGTAGACGTCATGTCACAATACCCAACTGCAAAATTATAATGCACTCCAGTGACCAATCTGAGAACTTTGCCCATTTTGAAGTGATATAAGTAAATTTAAACCTGTTTTTTTATATATTTTATATGTTTTAATTTGTTATTAAAATTTGACAGTTAAAATTTCAAATTCTTTTATCATAATATAAAGAATTAGATTATGTTAAAAAGGTAATTTGCCTCTCCTGCTGTGTGAACATATTGTGACGTATTTGCTCTATGCAGGAACTGTTGAGCCACAGAGGCCTCAGGGCACACGTGCAATATGAGAGTTGTGCATTGTATTGGTGCGTCGCTAGGCAACAACTCTGTGATAACTTGAACTGTGCAACAGGAAGTGTTAGTGACGTCACATACCCCACTCATCCTGTAACTATGCAATGCTCGGTAAACCCCCCCCCAAGGTGACATAACAGCAGAGGAGTGGTGTTAGGCACCCACTTTCCACTGTGATGTAACAGGGGACAGAATAAGAGGCTGGCTGAGCAGCGTGTGAGACAGTGTGGATTGTGAAGCCAGACAGAAACAGTGGAAGTCTAGCAGTCGCCGAGTTTAGTTATAGTGAGCGAATTGTGAACGTAAAGACGTTATAAGTATAGCAGCCGTGGAAGAAGAACGAAATGCATGATCAAAAGAGTTTATGTGTGATAATCAGTGATAGTTTGTGATAACTGAAAAGGTATTGGGTATTGGGAGTGTGTAATTCAGTGACATTTGTATAGCTCCCGCGTTATAAATATGTGAAGCCTACTGAAGATAGAGTGGAGAGATTATTGTGAGGGTTGTAAAGTGTGTAAACCCATAACAGTGTCATAAGTATTTGTAGTTACGACTTGTAGGTTGTTAAATAAACCAATTAACAATCTGAACGGCATCTTCAGTGGCCAAACATGTTACAATATATTTGGATACTGTTATTAACTCTTGTATCCATGCAAACTATTGCAGATGGCTGAAGTTGGATATATAGATGCATATATCATACACATTCATTTCTCTATGCAAAACGATCTTTCAAAAGAATGGAGAACTTTCTGTTGGAGGAAAACAAAGAGAAATGTTTCATGCAAGACTTTCCATATTTCACCATTACATAAGACTCGCAAGCAAGTCAAATTCTACTCATAACACATTATGAGGCCCTAATTTTAATACCGTATCAGGTATAAATTTGTTGTCCATATAGTTTATTCCTTCCATCATTCTGTGAATATATAAAGAACAATATAGTGAGAGTAATTAAATAAATAAGAAAGATGGGACACGAAAGACAGTGGTGTTCACGATAACTTTCATACACAATGTAATTCCGTCAATAATGCAACTATTTCTATCGCGCCTTCTTTTCACAACATGTTTTAGCCCCAAATGGCCATCATCAGGTGTCTGAGCTGTATCAAAACTGTTCCACTGTACAGAATGTCCACTTTTTCACGTCATGTATAACTGCGATATTTCTTGATTTAAAATATTGTACGTTATAATTGATAACTTAGTTAAAATACCATACGCTGTAATTTACTTTCAATTGAGATTCACTAACTTCTATAATTTGAATTTAAATTTGAAGCAAGAAAGTAGATACTATAGGATTCTGACGATGGTGTATAACACATAGAGATACTGGGTTTTCGGACTTTATCCATCGTCCTGGTTTCAAGATAACTAAGAAAAACACGATGTTTCGGAAACTGTATCTGTTTCCGTCCTCAGGTGAGGGAAAACACCCTCTAAGGGACCCAACAGAATAGGTGTTTTCCCTCACGTGAGCACGGAAACAGATCCAGTTTCTGAAACGTCATGTTTTTCTTAGTTATCTTAAAACCAGGACGATGGATAAAGTCCAAAAACCCAATATCTCTATAAGAAAGTAGATGTATGAAAATTGGGTACAGTTTAGATTATTTAATGCCCATGCCTTTATTGTGCCAGATTTTTCCATGCGAAACTAAATAGTCTGGAGACTATGAATTTAATCATCCATGAACTCTGAGTACATATCACCTATTAAAATATGGCAAAAGAAAATGATGGGTTTATTTTATATTATAAAAATTATAATATAAGAACTACACTTACTTGAAAACATGTATAATCCCTGACCTGACGATTCAGATTTAAATCTAGCTCTGCCACCAGAAGGCCATCCCTGATTCGACTCAGACCCTGAAAAAACAACACTCAATGCAGAAAACAGAAGTAACATTATTATGAAGAAAATGAAGGAACTGTTTGCCACATAATGTATATGAAGGAAAGGTGCAAATGAATACTTATTGCAGCAAGGGACTCCATATCAGACATCCTGATATCTGGAAGAACCTAAAATCCATATTTTTCCATCACCGAAAGGCCAAAATATAGATTTTTTTTTAAAGAAATTATGGATCTGTGCTGTGAAATCAAGTGAAAATCCTGATGATCCTCTATTTCAAACATCCTCTTGGTTCACTAAACATCTCTCTCTTCAGACAAGATGATAAAGTAATCTTTTATTTAACCCAAAGATTCATCACAATGTCCACAAGAGCCCACTGATGGATTTTATTTTGAATCAGGTGAATCCAATCCACACTCTTATGCTCTCATAAAGTTTCTTTAATATCCATTTTAATGTTATCCTCTCACCTGCTCCTGATCTCTGAGCCTCTTCCTTTCATTGAGAGAGATGTTCATGTTGGTGACTGAAGATTATGTTCTGGGCTGTGATGCCATGTTATATGTAAGACTGTTACTGCATATGACTTGTAAGTTCCTCAAAAGGACTGGTAATGATTTACCAGACCATAAGCTGTCACATTCGAGAAAGCAATAATCTTCCCTTCAGGTTTCATACCAGAATTTAGTATACATCTATAATCTTTCTGGGGATGCTATATATCTCAATCTTGATTTGATCATGTTAATAATATTTGGTGAAGAGTACAAATTATGAATCTCCTTGCTATGCAGTTTTTCTTCCATCCTCTCACTTCTTTCTCCTTGATCAGATTAGTCTCTTCAGCACTCTGTGTTGAAACATGCCCAATGCAGTTTAATGCATAATAAATAAATCTTAATAATTAGCTTACAATAAATGATGTATGTCAAAAACTTTTCATTAGTAGATAATCATATAGGGTTTAATGCATAAGATAGTTACCATGTGGCACCACAATAATAAATAGTAGAGGGGATGTGTGACATTACACTTCTACATTTTTGGAAACTGAATTTAATAAGAAAGAATAAATCAGCGTAAATTATACAAAAATTTTTGCTTATCATATCCTTTCATTTCTAGAAGCAGACTTAATTACAAATACTCATATAAACGTGGAAAAATCAAAAGAAGAACAAAAATGCTTCAGGGTTTGTTTCTTCTTGCAGTGCAGATACTTTCAGTTGTCAGTTAAGAGGCATTATAAACTACTGCTATAAGAAAAGCACTGCCATATTAAAGAAGTAATTTGATGATTTTAATGTGGTTAATTTTAGAAAAACTCCAGCCAAAGAACAGGCATTTTGCCTACTTTGTAGGAAAATTAACATTCAATGAAGATAGGTTCTTCAAAATGAACAATATCTTACCGGAGTGCGACTTCCATCAGGGGCAGCAACGTAACTGGACCCGTAAAAATATTTCAGATCTCGATGAGGAGGTAATCCATCTCCTGTTGAGAATTCATTTGGGAATGTTTCAGTGCCAACACGATTTATTGCAGCAGTAAAGTAACCATTTGCAATAGCTGCATTACGTGCCTCAATTCCCCACAGGGGTTCACTGTTAAGACAATAAATAACAATTACAGTACAAGATACAGGGATTCAGTTTAAAGATGATGAGCATTCATCCAGTCCCAGTAGAACACAATGCTTCCTCTAATGTTAGTTGTCCCATGTCATGTGATTGGAGCCATCTCCATTTGGATTGTATATGGGATTCACGCACACCAATTTATTTCAAGTGTACATTCGGGCATTCAAGAGTTGGACCCTTCTCCAATTAAGTCAGGCCACATGTAACACATGTGTGTCAAGAGCACTTGTGGTATAAACAAAGTACATGAAAATATTTCATGCTCACAAACTTTCTGAGTTGAAGTTAGTGTAAAGTTTGAAAAAAAAAGCCTGTTATACACAAAAAGAAACTCCACAATGATTTAAATGATTGCCAGAAAATTTCATATTGCTGCATTTAATCAAATTTTCTGGAATTATTCTCTTTGCTGGACAATTCAGATGATCATTTCATACTAAGCGTCATCAAAGTCTGACTGTAATCAACTGAAAACATATGAGACAGGTTTTTTATTACATTTAACCTTTCAACTGCTAAGCCCAAGGTAATCTAACATAGTGTCAGGCATGCTACATCACTTAAATCTTGTGTTTTTCTATAACATCTCACAAGGCTGTGACAGACTATGCATTCCCTGGCCATTCTTTGGCAGACATACAGTAATCTCTGTTATTTATAGAGCACATCTTGTTGGTATTTGTCACTGTGAAAATTCAAATGGCACTCAAAGTACATCCTGAACTGCATCAAAGATTCCCTGGGTAAATAGAGACTCATATCGATATATGGTGTGAATCATGCAGTAATCTGGCATACTGTAAGAATACACTTATGACATTTGTCATTATCACAGTGGCAAAATGGCACTCATAAAGTACATGCTGAAACTGCCCCTCAATCCTTCCTTGGACATATAAAGACTCATACTGAAATACATGAATTATTATTAATTTCCAGAACATAATGAATCAATTAAAATAGGATGGTCATACCTGAAAATTTGGATAAACACATGACATGAAATTGACCAAATGTGGACATAAAGGATGCCCACATTATATTTAAAGGTCTGGATAAAATTTAATATTGGTATTTCATATAAAATATACTTTAAAATCCTATTAGGTAATCATAATTGCCACTTCATTTAGAGACTATTATTAATTTTTGCAACAAATTTATGATACACAGTGTGACAATTAAGTTCTGGAATTGACACTTTTTTATTGTTGAAAAATTACTGTAAATACAAAAAAGGCCTAGGCAATGCCCATCTGGCATTGACGCTATTACAGCAATACCACTAACACCATCTATAAGGGACGAATGGGACTAATTAGAGAGAATGTTTATTTATATGTTTTGCAAGTTTCAGCTTGTTTGGTTGATGCATATGAGGATTACAATAGTTTTGGTGATGTTAGTGTTAGTGTTATCCCATCCACACTACTCCCCTGTTTTAGTGCTGGCCAACTATTTTTTTATTTCATAAATTAAAAATTGCGATGAAATGGACAAGATTTGAGGCTGTATCATTGATCCAACAGATTGTGATGACAGAAACGAAGGTGAAATTGGAAGAAGCAGTTTGTCGGGAATTTGATTCATTGTATGAGCAATGTAAACGTTGTATGGAAGCAGGTGGGGACTTTATTCAGCAATGGTATTAATACACATTTTTTTATCTTTTTTTGTACGGTTTCTTGTTGCCTCAGTTCCGGAACTTAATCGTCACACTGTGTACAACAATTAGAACATGCCTGAGTCAAAATCTATAGTAAAAAAAAACATTTTGTGCCATAAATATCTTCAATATGATAGTCATTATATCGAATGACTGTAAAGTCTGGTCTTAATAAGAAATTTCAAAATCTCTCAAATATGCTAAACAAACTGATTTGGGATGTTTGCAGCGCAAGTACATAGAAGTGTAAAAGTAAGTGAACAGGTCAAAAATAGGAAGTATATGTAAGATAAAACTTGGGTGTTCATACATCCTTATCAAAAGCATATTTTCCTTTAATGAAACGCAGATAGAAATGACAAATTAAAGAAGTGATTAACATGAAAATATCCTACAGATATCAGAGGTAGTTAACTACTTGCTAAGAAAGTTCTATATCTCAAGAACCTTACACCTACCAAACCTTCTGATCTCTACACTCATATCATAAAACTCCGTGATATTAGTCCGCAAATGAACTATACACTCATATCATACTGACATTAACCTAAACCCATATGTACATATTAAATCGTAATAGTTCAGAAACTAAAATAATATTAGTCCTTTCAGACTTTAATTCAGTTCTATATATTGATATAAATATTTCTAAAACATCTTAAATATTTTATTAAATTTATCACCATGGTCTAGACAAACATAAGACATTCATATTAATCTGACTTAAGGTGCCTTTAAGTGCAATATTAATGGTTGCACTGATAGCCGACGGTCTTCAGCAATAGAGAATTTGTGAAAGAGAGACTTATGTATAAGTAAGCTTCACTGGAGTAAAGTCCATCAAGTTCATTTGTTTGTTGACCCCCAGTAACAAAAATAATGGTCAGCACAAGATAAGATATACACTTTTTGTATATCTTCACATAATCTCATTAATTTGATCATGTGGTTGAAGACTGTGTCTTACTAATGACACTTGAAAAGTATATAACTACAGTTATTCTCTGGGGTCATAAAAGATTCAAGGCAAAACATCATAAATAAAATTATTATTAGGCATGTGACATGTTCTATATCCGATGGCTTTAGTAGCCAGTAAGGATCTATGGAAATGTAAATATAGATGATACAAGAAACAGAAATATTCTTTTGAAGACTGCAATATAGTATTTAACCTTTCACACCGACTTGTGGGACAAGGTCAGATGTTAGATGTACATATCGTAAGTTAAAGGTTGAAGTACATCAAAACAATACAAGCAAACAATGTAAATGTGGTCAAAGTTAATGTTTAACAGGAAGCAACAGCTTAGGACTTCGGCATGTATGTGGGCTGGGGATTACACAAAATGTCAGTGCACTCTCTTGGAAAAAAACACTTGGCAGATCAAGAGGGACACAGAAGAAAAATACTGTGACAGATCTTAGGGAAGCAGGCTGTGGTGAGTGATTCATGAAATTAGCTCAGGATTGTGATGAACTTTGGTATTAGCAGTGCTGACTGTTTATCAGCTAGTACCAGAGGGTGAGTTAGGTATTTTACAATAGCATTAAAATGGATTTCTTTGTCTTCATTAAGAAGAATAAATATAGTTTCTTCATCGAAAGCCCATCCTGTTTGGATTATAATGACACAATTAATATTTGGAATGAAATACAATCTGGGCTCCTTTCTTGTTGCAAAATGCACCATAAGCATGCTCTGAAAACTATTTAGCTAATATCACAGATGCTGAATGTTTCCCTTTGATATGCCACATCACCAGAATCTCACCTAAGCGGGGCAACTGTTGCTGATGGGTTGAAAACAATCTCAGCTCCATTCACTCCAAACATGAGCCAGTTCAGAGGATGATGACGCCCAAAACAAATGTTGACAGCAATTCGACCAAACTGTGTCTATAAAGATGATAGGAGACTAACAGTCACATAAATGAAGGTGTATTGGGAAGGAGGTGACACAAATTAAATATTACCTTTTATGAAAGATTGCAAAAACTGCATACACATTCCACCCCCATTTAATATTACTCAGAGTGTTCAATATCTGTGTTTGAAGCCTATTATTACCTCAGTGTTCACTGAAAGATTTATCTGAATTTAATGTTTAAATCCTCCATCTCCCAAAGTAATATTAAATGGCATTCCTTTATACTTCATTTGTATGATTCAAGTTTCTGAGTGTAACTCATACCATATTTCTGTAGGTACAAAGGCAACATCTTTGTGTATTTCATACCACTACTTCAAGTTAGATATTTCATTCAATAAAGAGATTATCTTGATTGACTCAAGGTCATATATATATATATATTTATAATGCATTAAAGGTGGCTGGGGAATATTAAATCAGATTATTTCTAAAGCTTAATTTAGTGAATCTTACTTGTAATGTAATGCCTTACAAAGGCTACGGATAATATTTAAAAAAATACTTTTGAAATGTAACAGGTAGTCTTCAATTTCATTTGTACCTTGCAAGTGAAAAAAGTAGTAACATCTAAAATCAGTGAGTTTGTTTGAGCTCAAGTAAATTATGCCAATTAAAAATATATTAAACATATTCATAAATGTGTAACATTGACTTGCATGAATAAGCTACATACAGAGTTTAAGTTTTCCCATTGTTCTAACAAACACTGCAGTTGCCGCTTTCAGAGTTAATGTTTTCATATTTTCAACCTTTCTGGCTGCTTCTGTCTCACTGCTCAAAATAATATCAGCAATACTAACCTGAAAGACTGGATGTCCAGTGTCACCTTCCATATAGTAATGAGATTCATTGAAGTCACCGATTCTAGGAATATGATTTTTACGATGCTTGCCCAAAACTCGGCCAGAGTTTGATACTACCACTGTAGTGTTCCACAGTATATCTTCAAGATTTTCAGCTCGCTCCAAGATAGAGGATACAATGACCATGTTGTACTGTCGACTTAGCTGCAAGGAACTTCAAGTTGGTTATAGTCCATAGCAGTTATGAACTTAATAATGTGAAACAGAACGCTGTCATAAAAAAATTTAGTCACAAATGTTTAGGAAGTAAAATAGTTCCTATCTGTAAGAATTTGTCAGTACTTTGTTTATAATAACAAATGTTAGTTTCGCTTTCCAACAGATTAAGCGTCTTTCTTTATAACTGGATTATGAAGCAGACAAAATAACGTACAGTCATACTCATTAGAGGCTGAGTCGAACCCCAAGGCCACAATGCGACTGGGGGGGGGGGGATTATGACCTCATCGGGAATCAAACCTGCAACCTTCTGGCTTGAAGCATACTGTCTCAACCAGGTACACTACCATGTGCAAATACTATAAATATTACAAATATTAAAAGTAAGTTAATTAATATTTTACCCCAGATCTTTTAGAGCATGATCTCCTCCATCACTGCATGGATCAGTAAGAGTTGCAATTCAAGCTATCAGAGCAATTAAAAACCTTATAAACAATTAATTTAACATTCTAGCAATATTCACATCTCCAGCACCTTGGCAAATTCAGACAGGAGAGCTTGGCATATGAAATATTTTGCAATTCATGCAGTTTGGCAAATGATGTCAGAACAGTGGTCGCTGGGCTCTAATGCTTTCTGAAGAAGCTCTCCAATGTAGGCTGGAATGCTGTTCTTTTCTTCTCCCTGTAGATCTCCATGTCACCAGCAAAATTTGTTAGCCAATTACTGAATGTTGTTACCTTTTCAATATTTGGGTCAGTTATCTCTGTGATGTTCATCATAACATCAATATGCTGGGAAAATTGACCACTGTTAACAAATCCAAAACTAAGGTTTTGAGATACTGGGTTTTCGGACTTTGTCCATCGTCCGGATTCTAAATAAAACATTCTTAGTTATTTAGAATCTGGACGATGGACAAAGTCTGAAAACCCAGTATCTCTGTGTGTTATACACCATCGTCAGAACCCTATAATACCTAAAGTTTTGAGTTGTAGATCAAAAAATTTAGAGCATAAATCTAATGGGGTTTAATTTAAAGGGATCATAAATCTGGTAACTCCCGAATTAGGAAGTTATATGTTGAGGTGGAACTGCACTATCAAGGAATCTAATTAATTAAAATTTTAAGGAGCTATTTATTTCAGAATAACAGACCAAGTTATTATTCAACATATAATTCTCAAAGGTCTGTAAAATGAGAATAAAATTTGTGTTTTATGCTACTGTACTGTATGAATATCAAACATACTTTCTGCACAAACTGTGTTGTGGGTCCATCTTCTGCAGATTCAGCTAACTCACACCAAGGTTGCTTTTCCCGTGTGCAGAAAGCAAATGGATATGCTGAAACAAAAACAACAAAATTCAATATATTTTCAGTTCAAAGTAGTTTATATTATTTATATTTTCAAGCTTAACATCTAAGTACATGTGTAAATGATCTATGCTAAGACCAATGCAGAAAACTGTAACTGTCAACAAGATGTAGCAATATACATTTTCAAATAATAAAACTCACGCCACAACTCCTGGAAACACACTATATTCACTCCACAATATGCAGCAGCTTCAACTATTTTTGCAACATGATCATAAATTGCCTCTCGCTGTTCCTTAAGAGGGTCACTAGTAGGACGCACAATCTGAGTCTGGATTAACCCCACTCGTACAATTCTAAACACATACAAAATCAGCTTTGGTGATTAAATATATTCTTGAATCTAATATTAATGGCAGAAACTACATTTATTTTATACATTACCTGGGTGTCCGTAATTGTTCTTTAAATATAGTTCCAAACTTGTATGCTTGTATCTCAAAATCGTGTTTCCCTGCAAGTGTCTGTGCTTCTGCAGGAATTTTCAGAGTTCTGTCAAACCAAATATTTTTGGAAAATTATTAATAAATATTTCATTCTTTAAATACAACTAATGTAGTGCAAAAATCTTCTGAATATTGTAAATGGGGTACGGGACCAAATGCTCCTCTTATTACCCCCCCCCCCCAAACCCCCAAGAAAGAAACTTAAAAAAAACATTTAATTTTCAAACAAAAACACAATTAAAATTTTCTGAAAAACTGTTACTTACTGCAAATCTTTGCCATAAAGGATTCGTTTTATTTCAGTCAGGTCTTCTCCTTTCACGTTTTTTTCCAACAATTTTTCAACGCTTTCTGTCTGTGGTTTGGCAGAAGCCATTGTAGGTCAGAGGGTAATTCGAGAATGTCCCGGAGTTTGAGAAAGACTAAGAAGACAGACATCATTTATATCCTTATAACCATGTTTATTCCATTTCATTATCTCTATGTTTGTACGGTGTTTTTTATCGTCCATAAGATGGTGATATGAAGTTCAAAGGCGACGGTGACAGATCTTTGTTATCAGCACATTTCAATTACGGTCAACCCTTCCTTCTGGAGCTTGTACGTTAAGTGTCCTATTTACGACTTAATGCAAGCGTTGGCCTGTTGGTCTAGGGGTATGATTCTCGCTTCGGGTGCGAGAGGTCCCGGGTTCAAATCCCGGACAGGCCCGTATTTTATTAAATTGTGTAATTTACGATACTGCAAGACTGTCATTAAGGTTATAAAGTGTACAGTAACTTCACAATTATAGCTTAGCTCATTATTTTGTCCATTAATTCATTCCTGGACAGAACATTGTCCTCTAACGGTAAACACAGCAACCACGTGAGCTCAACTATGCTGCCATCTAGTAGCATTAAAGAAACCCGTATTCGACGGTTCAAAACAGCTGGAGCCGAAGTCATACCTTGCATACCATCCTTAATTTTTTATTTACTTGTGGTGCTGTCATTCTACCTACTACCGACCGCTCCAGACTCTATAGTGATCAGTGTTCCTCGTTTAAGTCGCTCTAAGTCCTCTAAGTTACCATTTTCTACAAAACGCCGTTTTTCTGCGTAGGATGGAGAAAGGCTGAGAGAAAAGGAGCAAGAAGTTGCAACACATTCTCCTATTATTATTATTATTATTATTATACCTATTACTGTTATCATTATACTTACTGTATTATATTTCAGTTACATTTTTACTTAAATGCAGATTTTGCATGAAATATGTTAGTTACCTCATAGCTTTGCCCGGTCACTATGTTTTTGTTCACAATCAGTTTCAATACCCAGTGTTAATGGTGTTTATGATTTCCCTTCGTACCAACTTTCACATAAGCGTGTTTCATTTGTCATCGCTATGAAAACCATGAAAATGAAGCCAAAGAAATTTTTCGGACTGAGCCATGTTGCTACTTTATTAATGTTCTGTATTTCTGAAATATCTATTAGCGGAAGTCGTTAACACTACTGCCGTCTCCACACCGCAAGTTCACGCGTGTGCCATATTTTTATTAGTGACTGCTAAATTAGAAAACATGTGATTCGTCTGGCATCCAGTGGTACGACATTCATACTAAGTTTCGTGAAAATCCGTCATCTGGTTCAAAGGTGAAAGGAGGCAAATAAGGCACGTAGCATGTTTTCGTAAGTCTGTTCAGTTTCCTTAAGAACGGTAAGTAGGCAAAGAATAGCTTAAATACACAGGGTGTTTTATGTTTGTCTGCACACCTAGATTCCAGTAGGAAACATGTTAGTCGGTGTTAATGGTATACTGGTACTGTAAGTAATTCGTGTATCTATGGTCAATTTCGTGGTGATATTGATCTTCATAACCAACAACACACAAAACATTCACAGTCACTACACACACAGCCACAGTAATCCGAGAAGGATCAGCAGCAACACACCACCTTAAAAAACGCAAGAAAACGTAGGATATATAACACAGTAGAACATAACACTTAATATGTACATACCTGCAAAAAAATTTTAGCATAATACAATTATTATATATGGGTATAATACATAACTGACAATGTGCACTGCTGGCAGTCAGCAGGTACCAGTATTTTATGAATTTTTATTGAAAGTTACAATGTGTTCCACACATGACTAAATCGAAGGGACAGTGCAACAATTTTAGTAAGAGTAACTAGGCCTGAGGATGGCCATGTGAGGCCAAAACATGTTTTAGAGGAGTGTACATAAGATAGAAGGCAAGAATAAAAATGCAACACTTCGATGGTGAAAACACTTATCCACCGAAGATTAATAGTAATACAACATAATGCTTAAGTACAATATTAGCAATGAATAAAATTAATTTTAACCCAGTAATGCCCAGCATAGTTCATCTTCACAGTTTAAATTGTTTAGTGATATGATAAGTGCTTCCAGATATCATCAGCATGGCTAAGCATTTTTTCATTAATCCACTTTTGAGAAAAACCATGTAACTAATATAAAGAGAACACTGCATGTTTGGGGCACTGAAATTGTAACTGCTAATGAAGCAATGATTTAAACATTTGCTATGTATTATGCATAGTTATAGATTTATGTATATTACCTAAGCTGTATGGCATATATTGTAAAAGAAATTATGTGCTAAACTATCACTCACTGATATGTTGGGATTTCGGACTTTATCCATTGTCCTGGTTTTTAAGCTAACAAATAAAAACACGACGTTTCTAAGGGACCCAACTGAATAGGTGTTTTCCTTCACCTGAGGACGGAAACAGATCCAGTTTCCGAAACGTCGTGTTTTTATTTGTTATCTTCAAAACCAGGACGATGGATAAAAATCCCAACATATCAGTGTGTTATACACCATTGTCAGAATCCTATAGTAACTAAACTATCACTGTTTGGACTGATATGGTTTGAAGCACTGTGGGTACAGTGTAACAGTGCACCTTGCACAATAAATGAATCATCTCTGTTTAATTCCAGCCAACTGGTATTGCATCTGGAATTCAAATTTGACTTGAAGTGGCCTCATTCCATGATCTTGCATATCTTGGAGTATGCTAAAAAAGAAATGTGTCCAATAGGATACAGTGGGTAAACATTTTCAAGTACTGGATTGGTATGCATCATGAAATATCAAGTAGATCCAAGGACTCACCTAAAACAGTTCTCCAATTGATCTAAGCATAGACAAAAATCATGTTATTTTTTTTTACATAAACCATGATGAACTGATGTTGCATACTTTCCAACAAGCCATGAGAAAAATTAAGTGTCACTCTTACACATATTACGATCCTTAATTTCATTCATTCATTCATTTACATTTATTGATCCATAAATGGCTGGAAGATCAGTGGATATAGAGATAGTCAATGACAACACCACCAGTCACATCAATAACACAAATGCAAATTAATTGTACTTAATCCATCACAATTACACATGTTATCCAAGACAAGTTACAATGAGTAAATCATTAAACAGTTATAAAATATATAATGTAAAAGCATGCATCATACTAATATCAGTCAAGACTGCAATAATCAAACATGGAAATATACCACTAGCCATCCAGCATATGATAGACCAAGATCGTTAATTAATATTGAAGTTAACATATTCTTCGAATGAGTGAAATGAATTTAGAAGTAGAAATCTTTTTAAAGGCGAATCTAAATTTTTTCATGTAATGAGCTAAGTTTTTTTATGCTAGAAGGAAGATTATTAAAAATCTTGTTTCCAAAATAATATGTTCTTTGTGGAATAAAGTTATATTACATATTGGGTAATGGAAATTTTTATTATGTCTTGTATTTATGCCATTTGGCCATCCTTTAACTCTTGGAGGGCAGGAGTTCCATCATCTACTGTGACTCCATCATGTGGTGGTATATTACTCTATGTAATCGTGAATCCAATAATTTCTCTTAATCCGACCACTTCTGACACAAGTTTTGTCATCACAGTCCCACTTCTGACACCAGTTTGTCATGTATCATGGTAACACAATACGAAATTAATGGGTTCCGAATAAGAGAAAGCTGTTTATTGGATAAGTCATTTACAATTACAGTCACTCTGAAATAACATCTTCCAGATGACGTAACCTCCTGGTCTGTTGTGTCTTTGCTCTTTGTCCTTAGCTCTGCTGTGTTCTGTTTGACGTCTGCTCTGTTCTATGTTCTCAATTCTGACCTCTCATGGTCATAACTGAGAGTCGGAAGGCCTAGAAAACACCTTCTTCAAGATTTCCATTTCATGTATTCTATCCACTGGTAGTTAGTATATTTGTTGCTGCAGGAACTTCACTAGTTCTGGTTTTTCACTTGTTGCATGAACCTGTTTGTCACCCTAACAATGATACAGAACCGTGGATACCGAGCCGTTGCCTAACAGTGGACGCTCACTGTGTCTTAGATATTCTGGCTTTTAGGCAGCACGCTACAATATAAATACTATGGGGAGAATTTGCCCAGAAAATTATACCATAAGTCATAACAATGAAAATATGATAAATAAATCATTCTTAGTGTTTCCTGTTAGATATAAGGTTCAGCAGCCCTCATTGAATACCAGGTTGAACCTAATTTAGATGTAAGCCAGTCAACATGTCCTTTCCATGACAACATATTATTGATAATTAATCCAGTAAATTTGGTATTAGTAGATTTAGCAATCTGATTGTTACCATAGTCAATATGCATATCCATTGCATAGCTATTCTTAGTAAAAAATTGTATAAAATATGTTCTACCAAAGTTTAATGTCAATAAATTACCTTTAAACCAATCATTTATGTTTTTAAATATTTGAATAATGTTGTTTTCATAATCTAAGGGCTGGAATTCATGATAACTATGGTGGTGTCATCTGCAAAAAGAACAGGTTTGGATTTACTAATTATAATGTTTGGCAAGTAATTTGTATATAAAAAAACAATAAAGGTCCCATAATTGATCCTTGGCGAACACCATCATTAACTTTTCCCCATCTAGAATGAACATGCCAATTATCAATTACAACTCTGTTACATTTTTTGTGGTAGTATTTTACCAATGCATTGGCCTTACCAACTATTGCATAAAATTCCAGTTTAGACAGTAAGATATCATAATTGATACAGCCAAAAGTTTTCTTCACATCACAGAAAATGCCACCAACTAATATTTTGTTATTCAGCACATTTAGTATTTCATTAATTTATATGAGGCCGTTTTTGTAAATGATTTACTCCTAAAACCATATTGTTCATTTGCTAATATGTTGTTACTCATTATCTGTTGGTGCAGTTTGCATATATAACCTTCTCAACAACTTCTGAAAAGGATGTCAGCAATGATATAGGTCTGTAGTTAGTCATATTAGTTCTAACTCCAGTTTTAAATAATTGTTTTATTTCTGAATATTTCAACTGAGTGATGAAGACACCAGCTGAAAGAGTTCTGTTACAAATATAAGTTAATGGAGCTCTAATGAAAGCAAAATGATTTTTAAACTTTTAACCAAAATTTCGTCATACCCATTAGAAATTATTGGTTTTAAAGACTTAATTATATTTTTAATTTCTTTAGCAGAGGTATGGTTGAATTCAATATTAGGGGAGTTGTGAAAGCTTGAGACAGATAATTAAAATATTTGTCAGTATCAGACTTTATAGTGTGGCCAAGATTTGCATTGGAATTGATTTTGTCAGCTAGAGTTAGAAAATAATTAATTAAATAATCTGTAATCATATGATGATTATCAGTTAACTTCCCATCAATGTTTAAAAACTGTATACCTGCATTATTAATTTTTCTACCTGTGACTGATTTTATAATGCTCCAGGTGGTTTTCAATGTTATTAGAATTAGAAATTAATCTATTATAATTAAGATTTTTAGCTGCTTTAATAACATTGAACAAAATTTTGCAGTATGTTTCATAATAATATTTTAGGTTTGGATCATTGCTATTTTTAAGAGTTAAATAGAGCTTTCTTTTGTGCTGACATGAAATCTTTATACCACCTGTCATCCAAGGAATATATTTTGTTTTAATCTTAACTTATTTTTTTCAGAAAATTAGAATAGAATATTCTTAGATAAGAAAGGAGTTGAATATTGACTCAACATCCTGCTCAACAAAAATATTGTCCCAAGTTTCATAACTTAATTGAACTGAAAACTCATTCCTAGAGGACTTACTAATTTCCTTACTATTTGGGTGCAACTGTTACGTGTTTGTAAGTTAATATATTATTTATGTATGTAATCTGGCCATCATGATCAGACAGACCATTAACAAGCGGATTTGTGGTATAATTTCCACTTCTGTTGATATCAATAAAATTATTATTAATTGCCGATATTGAATTATTTTGATTTCTAGTAGGAAATGTACTAGAGAGATTAAAAGAAGATAAAAAGGTGTCTAATTGTTTTTCCTATTATTGTCAACAAGATAATTTATGTTTATATCGCCACAGATAAGAAATACTAAATTAGAATTGTACAGAGATTTTAAAATGGCATCTAAGCCATTTAGGAAATATACACAGTTACCAGACGGAGCTTTATAAGTGGACAGAATATAGATACTGCCAAATGGAAATTGAAGTCTAACTGCAATTCTCTTCCATCTTTAAAAGATTCCATAGAGTGAACTTGCCAGAGTTAGCGCCAAATGCTAGTGGTACTCATTATTATTCTATCTGACAGAGAAGTTCTCTGTGTATATCAAACTAGCCATCATGTTCCACATACTTGTTTTTTTGCAGTGCCTTTGAAGGTGGGAGAGGACAGCTCCTAATCAGTTCTTGATCCTAAAACTCTGAGTGAAACAAAAGATTTCAGCTGTTTAAGATACCAAATGACTTTGAAGATTAGCAAGGATTTTAGCATATTAATATATAATTGTATCTTCAGTCCCATATTTCATATGCAGTATAAGAGTCGCTACCATCAAATCATGAACATTCCAGCTGTTGCCTTTTATATTTTATGTTTAAAAGAAGATGTGTCAAAACTACATGTCTAGTACCTCCAGGAGTGGTTTATGTGGACCTTAGAGTCCTCTTCCTATAGGCAAAGACATAACATTGACTTCTAAGATGTAAGCACCCATAGGATTGATTCTGTTACTCTTGATGCTATGATAATGAGATTGATGGTCTGCAAAGGATATCTTACAAATCAACACAGATTCTGAAACATGGGAGAGGGGGAGCCAGGTGTGCTTCATATTTCCAGAGTTTAACTGGAAAAAGGAATAGTTTTAATCTTCTGTGGGCATAAAAATCCACACAAATCTTACTGGGGATCAAACTAAGAACCCTTAACTGACAGTCCAGGATCTTAATCTGAGACCACTAGCTCTCCTAGATATGCCAGAGTGAATCAAAGAAGTGACAGGATCATGTATCTGCAAACATTTTTTATTGTCATGTTGATTAATTATTTTCTGTTAAGAAACCCAGAGAAATGACAGGATACATTGTCATGCATCTGCAGATGTTTTATGTACCAGTTATGTATTGTCATATTTGAAACTTATATTTAAATTTAGAAAATATTTGCAAAAATATTTAGCCAAGACATGTTTTGTACATTTTCTGTACCCTCTTTTTTTTTTCAGTCTGCCATTGTCTTTTGGTTAAAGAAACAGAATTAATTGTAGATATGGTTTATTTCATGATGCTATCAATATGTAAGACTATATGGTATCAAATGGCAGTACTGATGAATTCAAAAGGTTTTGAAGTGACTGATCTAATCAAGGTAATAGTATACTGATGCTTGGAGGGACAAGAAAACCACAGAAATCCTCAACAGGGATAGGTTGTGTCCTGGCTCAGATCTGAATTGTCTCCCAAATAAAATTCTAAAACATTATTGCAACACAAACCCATTCAGATATAAATATAGGAAAGGCAGAATTTGCAGCATTACTTGCTCTGGTATGTTATTTCCTTTCTGACTTGCCTAATTGTAAAATGTACCAAGTAAGTAATGTGAAGAATTCTGAAACCACACAATAGGATATAAATCAGAAGCATTACATGCAGAAACTTGGACTGAAGAAAGCATTGTGTTCCCTTATCTTAAAATAAACAATGGAAAGTTCTCTTGAAACCCACAACTGTGCCTACAGTGGAAGTTCATGCTTTAATGATTCTTGATACATTACTGGGACTGAAAATGACCCCAAGTGTCATGTAAGAACACAGAATTTTGGAGCATACAGGATATATAACCTCTTCAGCATACTTTACTTCAGGTATGTTACAACCTGAAATGACTTATGCTAATTTTATGTAAAAACAACATTTTTCCATGGTATGTAAATGTCATAATCGTCAGCTGTGTAAAGGGCAATTTGAAACATGCAGACTTAACAGTGTATGACAGACAGGTCTCATGAGTCACTTAGTCTGTTAAGAAAATAGGTAATCCAATATTATTTGCTGACAATACAAGTATTATCATATCAAACACAAATCCTGAAGAATTTAAAAATAATATCAAATTAGTTCTGAACGAAACAATTATGTGGTTTAATAGTAACTTTCCATCATTAAATTGTGATAAATCACACCCTATATAATTCTTTCTAAAAAAGCACAGGGAAATAGAATTGCAAATACGAGTAATATCTAATAATTCAATTCTTACAGATATCAACTGTACTAAATTCTTGGGAATAAATGTTGATAGTACCTTAACTTGGAAGAACCATATTACAGATTTATCATTAAGGTTAAATAAGGCTTGTTACGCAATAAGGGCAATAAAGCCGTTTATGTCACTTGAATCAATGAGGATGATCTATTATTCCTACGTACATTCTTTATTGTTGTATGATATCTTTTGGGGTTATGCCCCTCATAATGAGTGTATCTTCAAAATTCAAAAAAGAATAATAAGAGTTATATCTGGTTCGGGTAGACTGGATTCATGCCGCGGATTGTTTAAAAAATTACAAATATTGCCGCTTCAGTCTCAGTACATTTTCTCCTTCTTTTTGTTGTTAAGAACAAAAATTATTTTATAGCTAATACTGATATTCATATCAACACACGTTATAATCACAATTTATATTTACCTTCTACAAATCTATCAATAGTTCAAAAAGGAGTGCTTTTTTCGGGTAGCAAGATTCATAACCACTTACCCTCAAACATTAAATTGCTATCCAAAGATATTAAAGAATTCAAAGTTTTATTAAAAAACTATCTCAATGAAAACTTTGTCTTGATTGTCTCTCTCCTACAGATAATATAATTACACAGCTTATGTATCTAATACAACCATATCAAGTGTTTGTATTATTGTATAGGACTGCACTAATTTATAGTGGTTCTTAGTGTTTTCATTTGTCCTTGTATGGACTAGGAATGTATATTTTATGTTTATACATGACAGATTCTATATCCAATAGGTTGGTTTGACCTTATATGGATTGACAGAATGCAATAAATAAAGTTAAAAAAATTAACGCAGTGATGATACAAGGTGGTTCAAATATGACCGGGACTGATTTTTTTTTAACCCAAATTGCCAAACACTTACTTGCACATGTCAGTCTTCAACATACTCCCCTCTGGAGTCAACACATTTTTTTCCAGTGTTCTGGAAGCATCCTGATGCCCTTTTCAAAAAAGTTTTGTGGTTGGCGGCGTATCCACTCCTGAACATTCTGGATGACGGCAGCGTTGTCCACAAACCGCATGCCTTGCAAGTCTGATTTGAGCCTTCCGAACAGGTAGAAATCACTTGGGGCCAAATTGGGACTGTACAGCAGATATGTCAGAA